TCGAAAAGCTCCTTGGTTCGACTTAAGACAATGTCTCAGTCAGTCAGTTATGACGTATGACCATACACATATATGCATCGGTAGAAGTTGTCATACGTTATTAGCACAACAACATAAACACCAAATTCATAGAATTAGTTAATTCAGTGGTGATAATAAACAAAAGAAAGATTGCATATAAGAATATAGTACAGGGAGAAAGAATTAGTTGACAGGAAGCTATAAAGTGAATTTAATTTCACAATTTAAGGGAGGACAAAGAGTGTATACACCTACACTATTGTGATCGATTCTGAGCGATGTCACATACAGTCTACAACCATTGGTTACGATAGTTACACGGACTCCAATCAAATAGTCTGCATCTACTAACATGGCTAAGACTAGAATTTAGTGACTACAAGGACTGATGCCACGTTTTGATTTGGCCATCCCTAACTTTCTTCCAACCGTCTCTAACACTAGTCGGCATTGCGTGTCGTGGTAATCGGTGTTCAGCTATGCGCAGCACGTGGCCCAACCATCTTTAGTCAATGAAGATTTACAACCTCATCAACTGATTTATCATCATTCCCTAATACCTTGTGTCTAACCGCACTATTATTTACCCGGAGATCCCAACAATATTTCCAAGGCATCTGTGATCAGTTACTAGTAGCTTACGAGTATCTTCAACTATTAATGGCCACGTTTCTCAGCCGTAAAATACAACAGAACGAACTACCGTACAGTACAGACAGTGTCTACTTGTCTCATGTACTGATGGTTTATAATAGTTCTTGAGACTAAATTTATTTTTTTCGATTAGATCCTCATCAGGCTTTACTTCTAATATACAGTAATATTTATATGCATATACGATTCCGTAAGGATAGATCGTGTACAGACCAAATCGCAACTCTATGGATCATTGTGGAACAATCTATTGAATGGAATTCATCACTCTACATCAACTTCATTGACTACGAAAAGGCATTTAATAGCGTGGACAGAACAACACTATGGAAACTTCTTCGACACTACGGCGTGCCTCAGAAGATAGTCAATATCATACAGAACTCATATGATGGATTACACTGCAAAATCGTGCATGGAGGACAGTTGACAAAGTCGTTCGAAGTGAAGACCGGTGTCAGGCAAGGTTGCTTACTCTCACCCTTTCTCTTTCTCCTGGTGATCGACTGGATCATGAAGACGTCAACGTCTGAAGGAAAGCGCGGGATACAATGGACATCTGAGATGCAGTTGGATGATCTAGACTTCGCAGACGATCTGGCCCTTCTATCCCAAACGCAACAACAGATGCAGGAGAAGATGAAGAGTGTGGCAGCAGCCTCAGCAGCAATAGGTCTCAATATACACAAAGGGAAAAGCAGGATTCTCCGATACAACACAGAATGCACCAATCCAATCAAAATTGACGGAGAAGATTTGGAAGATGTAAAAACCTTTACGTATTTGGGCAGCATCATTGATGAACAGGGTGGATCTGATGCAGATGTGAAGGCGCGGATCGGCAAAGCAAGAGCAGCATATTTACAACTGAGGAACATCTGGAACTCAAAGCAACTGTCAACCAACACCAAGGTCAGGATTTTCAATACAAATGTCAAGACAGTTCTACTGTATGGGGCAGAAACCTGGAGAACTACGAAAGCCATCATCCAGAAAATACAGGTGTTTATTAACAATTGTCTACGCAAAACACTTCAGATCCATTGGCCGGACACTATTAGCAACAACGTACTGTGGGAGAGAACAAACCAGATCCCAGTGGAGGAAGAAATCAGGAAGAAGCGCTGGAAGTGGATAGGACACACATTGAGGAAAGCACCCAACTGCGTCACAAGACAAGCCCTCACATGGAATCCTGAAGGTCGAAGGAAAAGAGGAAGACCAAAGAACACATTACGCCGAGAAATGGAGATAGACATGAGAAAAATGAACAAGAATTGGATGGAACTAGAAAAGAAGGCCCAAGACAGAGTGGGTTGGAGAATGCTGGTCAGCGGCCTATGCTCCATTGGGAGTAACAGGCGTAAGTAAGTAAGTAAGTAAGTACGAAATTAATAAACCAATCAAGGTAATTTATGAGTTAATGATAACAATGAAAACGATTACATAATAAGTGAAAAGTTAAAAGTACAAATTGACAGTGTAATAACAAGTGATAAGAATAATAAAGGTTCAAATCAATGTTACATAATCGGAAATAGGTCAATGATTAGAAAAATATAGACAGTGAAATAACTTGTAAGATGACGTAATAAGAAGTGTTCAGATAATTGAACCATGAAACGTATAGTTGAGAGAAAATAAAGTAGTAGGAGGGGGTGAAGAAAAATAATAAACCAAGAGAAAGTTTGAAAAAAAAATAATAAATAAATTCATTTATTAAGTCCAAAGGAGAGATAAGGGTGTTACAATTTTATTCTGAACACAAAGACTTGGCTTGTTGGCTCGGATTCCCTATAGCTTCTGTTATGTGTAAGAGATAAGATCGAACACCATAAGGAAAACTAGTGGGAATAAGATAAATAACTTTAAATGACTTGTTTCTGTCCACTACATGACCGCTATCGACCAAGTGTGATAGAACCGAGCTGCGTATTGTTTTGACGTAACCTTTTCCTAACCACGAAGCTAGGTGTTCACCAACTCTTTGGTTCAGTTGCCTGGTAGTGCGCCCTAATATAACTTTCTCCACAGGAGCAGCTGAATTCGTAGATACACACAGAAGTGGCATAACTAGGTAACTTATCCTTCAGTTGAGGAATCACCACTGATCGGGTCGAATACGATAGACAGAGGTCGACAGCATTAAACGTTCTCGTTACTGCTCTAGTCAGTCTATCTCCTAATACATCACGAGATACATCACCATTGAATTGCAGTTTCAAGAAAAGCGGTTTCTTATTAGCCGTTAGTGTCACTGTTTTCCTTCTTGTTACACGCAAGTGTTTCTTCAGGAGACCCCGTGGATATCCCAATTCAATCAACATATTATGAATATGCTCTAATTCCTTATCAATTGTGTCAACCGAGCATATCTTAATAGCTCTATTTGCCAGACATTTGACTAAGTTTCTCTTATAATGAAAAGGCACAAAGATTTAAAAAATGTGTGTATTGGCTTGAAGAAGAAATTTCTATACACACCTCTGCTGATAGAACCATTTTCTTTTCTACTTAACAAAACGTCAGGGGAATGTAGTTTATTATCTATTTCCTCTTCCTATGTAAATTTAATAGCGAGATGTTTGTTATTAAATATTTCTAGTAGTTGTTCTTTTCTAATGTTCTGGTCAGCAATGATGAAAGTGTCATCAACGTAACGACAGTAGAAATCCAGTTTATTGATAACCTCTTTGAGAGGTCTGTTTTCTAGTTTCGCCAAAAAAAATCCTCAAGGATGGGACCTAGAGGCGAACCCATCGCTATACCATCAATTTGTCTATAATATGTGTTATTAAAGACAAAATCGACATTCATTTCAAAAGTAATTCTTTAAGACTAAACTCAGGAATTCTAATATTGATTTGTTTTTCCTGTAGTTGTTGGCACACAAAATCAATAGTCTCCGTTAACGGTACATTGGTGAACAGGGAAGCAACATCTAAAAATATCATCCGTTTCCCATTTACGTTCATATGTTCCACTTCAGAAATGAAATCGAAGACGTCTTTCGTGCTTCTGTTGACGACTAGTTTGTGTAAGGGATTTAGGATTCGAACTAGCCACCGTGGAGTTTTATGATATGGTGAATTATACATATCTAAAACTGGGCGAAGAGGAAGACTTGTCTTGTGAACTTTAGGTAAACCATATAGTCGCGGTGTTCGATCCAGTAGGTTTGAGTGAGTCGTGTATGTCAGGAGTAAGTATACCTTTATTTTTTTAAATTCATCTAGTGAGTTAGTCAGCAATTTTTCTGCTTTCACGTCGTTGAGTTTCTGAAATTTTGTCGGATCATTCAAAATCGAGTTCATTTTATTAATGTAGTCGGCTTTGTTCATAAGAACTAGCCTTCCTCCTTTGTTCGGCTTGCTTATGATTAGAGTGTTGTCTTTTATAAGCATATGTAAAGCATTTCGATGCTGTTTGGTAAGTGGAGTTTTCACTGTACTTTTACTATTTGTGTATTGTTGGCAGACGTCCAACAACGTAGTCTTAAACCTAGTAAGTTCATCGGGAGAATTAGGCATCAAATATGTTGTTTGTTTAAATCGATTTTCAAACTGTACATCTGTATCGAGTTGGTTTATTTTATTTCTAAAGCCTGATGAAGGTCTAATCGAAAATAATATTGTTCGCTTATATCTATGTGGATTGGTTGAAGTTAGCCATTAACACCGTTGGCTGCCGGCTCAGTGGTCTAATGGTTAAGTGCTCGCGCGCGAAGCCAGTAGGCCCTGAGTTCGAGTCCCGCGGGGGGCGGGTCCGTGGGTGCGCACTGCTGAGGAGTCCCATGTCGGGACGAAACGGCCGTCCAGTGCTCCCAGGTTTTCCATGGTGGTCTAGCTTTAATTGGCTCATGATTTCAACTTGTGATATATCTATGTTGTTCTAAATTTACAATATGAGAATATTTCAAATTTATATTTATTCTGTTTCTCAAGAATTAGAGGAGTTTGAAATAGTACAAAATACCTGTCATGGATTTCACTATTATTCGCAATTCATGTGCTCTAAACCTTGGCTACATCAAGGCTTGCCATTCAGGATACACATCTATCAGCAAATATTGATCATACACGATTTAAGTATTAAACGTGATTGAGAAAATTATCTATCCATTATAAAGTGAAATTATACTCTTTAACGTTTAATATTTGAATTATTAGTCAGTTACAACTGCCTTTCCTACGAAAAAATAATTACAAACAAGCACTGAACTATGCAACTAATTGTGTTGTTAAAAGTATTCACAGTTGTTTTTTTCTTTCAATTTTCCTATATTCATTCATGTGTTTATTTGTATGTGTTTGTATATTGAATAGATGGTGCTAAGTCATCAAAACAGTCAATATCATCGACTAGTCAAAATGCTAGCGAAAAATCTCTACGTCCCAATCGTTCGTCATCATCATCACCGCCATCACGATTTGTCTGTCGTTCACCGAATCCTTTCTCTAAACCAATCTCTCCAAATAACAATAATAATGATAATATGATGGATATCAATATGGAAAGTGAGAATGCAATAAATGTAATCACTGATGAGTTATCGGACACCACTACAACAACAACAATATCAACAACAACTGGAACACTGACACCAACCATAACAAATACAATTTTTAATAAAACATTATTTACTAATGATGCCAGCATTAATCATCATACAAATACTGTAACAATTAATAATTTTTCCTTGAATCCAATTGAAGTAGCAAATGCTGCCAAAGTTGCTTTACTTATGGCACATCCATTAGAAGAACCAAAACGTGTAGCATGTGCTATCTGTGCAAAACGTTTTAAAAATCAATCTGCTCTAAATGGTCATATGCGATTACATGGTGGTTATGGACCGGCTGGTTTGATTGGAGGGAATAACACCTCCACCACTACGACAACGACAACAGTAACAACGACATCACAATCAAATCAAACCTATACTGCTACTACTACTACTACTATTGATAGCAGTAGTAATGATAATCAAGAAAGTAATAAAGCAATACATTTTAATTTATTTCAAACAACCTCTGGTCATATCAAGAAAAATAACAATGTTTCAGATTCCAAGAAAAAAGGCTATTCAACATCTAGTGATATAGACTCTTTGAAGTCGTTCAGTTTAAAATCTCATTCAAAGGGATTTACAGTAAGTATATTTTTGTTGGTACTAATTAATTTGATGGTTAACTGGTCAGTGGTAGCGATATAAAATCTAATGTTGTGGCAGCATTAATAGTAAGTGAAAGATTGTATAGTTTAGAGCTAGCAGCAAAATCTGACCTAAGGCCTCCTCACGGCGCTGCTGAATGGTAGGGGCAACCTTGCTAGCCAACTTAGGCGGCCAACGGAGATCGAACTGATCACTCACTCTGTTGTATCCTTGATCAACTCAGATTCTGCTCGAGGCTTTCTTAATCACACGTGGCCACCTGATATGTCTGCTCATGTATAAGAAATGCAGAAGTCCTCAGGCCTTCGTAGTCCAAGTATGTAGGTATATGCAAACGGTGTGCAAAGGAAACGTTAGCTGAAATCTTGTCGACCCCATGTCTAGTAAAATCAATGGCTTAATCTATCAGGTCTAATACATAATCAGAAAATATGGTAGCAATTACTAAGGAGAGACCACCAAATACCATTTCTGTGGGAATGATTATGCTTATATGTGTGCCAGGAAGTACTTGGGCGGTTGTTAGCGGGACATAGACGGGATTAAGGCATGCTCAATGCACGATTACTTTGGTGCACGCTGACTAGCCAAGTCATATCCAATCAGTACTAGTCGATATTTGGAGAATACTCTAGAATCTTCTCATTTAAAAACTATAAATATTACTAACGTTTTCCCTATTGTGCTTCTTACTTCCATCTAACCTTGTTATTTGGAATATAATCTCTTTCCTGTCCAACCGTATTCTGATTTTGGGACTTATCGAGTGAATCGGTGTCCGAGCATACTAAGCAATAGGAATAGCTGGGTCGTAACGTAAGAAAAAGTTTTTAACAGCAGTAAACATGGGCTGAATGGTATGTGTATAATGTGTGAGAGAGTCTGTGTGGCACATACGATTCTAAGGGAGTGGTGAACATCTACCCTCCGAAGTGGGTGAATATACCTATATGTATGCTATAGGATGAATGGGATAAAACCTGTGTGCCTGCAACATATATTTGCTCACAGGGTAGGTATACTTGTATGTATATCAAAGGATACTTGGATGAAAGTCCGTGCGTTACCTAGTATGCATGTAGACTATATCTGTCCAGGGTAATTGAAATCTCCAAATATCCTTCACTTGCTCTTCTTACGATACCGGAATACACGCAAAGATCTGCTGGACCGCGGTTATCCCACGAAACCACATCCACGCGGTGAGTTTGTGGGTCTTGAAAACTCAGAATTCGTTCCAGAAGGACTTACATATGCTCCCTCTCAGAAAAGCCTTACCAACCAATCTGTCTGGAACATCGCACTGTACATCACCATAGTCTACATCGCGAGCTGACCTTTAAAACCACGAAGTACTAGACAATCTTCGCATACTTCTTACATTAGTAGTTAATATATCCGCACTGGAGACTAATTTCTTGAGGTAATCCCTGAAGTTTTGTAAAAAGCGCAGTGGCCCAGTAGAATTTCACCTAGTCATATGTGGGGCCTCAAAATTTCAGATGAGTCGAAGTTATGTACACGAATCTGTATTTAGTAAATGTGTTAACATTTATGATATACTATCTCACTCTCGAAATGATGAACTTTATATTGACGATTTCCTGCTTGATCTTCACAAATCTGTCGTCATAATAGTTACCAGTGAGCATATAATTGTTATTTATTTGGAGGTTCGTTCTTGACGAATATGTGTTTCACCATAAATGGAAATCAGTTTATGGTGGGAGTTTACTAACAAATATGTCCGAGTTTCACCTTAATTATTGAAACTATTTGTAGCTTTCGTTTCAGTAACCAATATTGAACAGTATGTCCAACGGACAATTGCTTGAGGCCAATCTTTTTTCTAATTTTTCTGTCTTCTGAAGAAAATTTATATTCGAGAAATTTAAACTTGCTTCATTCAATATTTCGTTCAGACTAAACATTATTGAGTTTTTCCTCCTACATTACACCTGGTCGTCTGTAGATTTTTAAAAAATATTTGACAGCTGTTTGCTAATATTTTTATATCATGTACTTCGCTGACCGAGTTCAGTTAGTTTCGTCCTAGTATGGAACCCTTCAACAATATTCACACAGAGAGCTACTACTGATCGGACTGACGACATCCGGGGCTCATAAAAGTCGTGATCGCACACTTCTAGGAGATGCTATACTACTACAAGACTTCTGTTCATTTTTTTATGATTTCCAATCGCTGTCTAACCAAGGTCAGTTCGTAATGCAAAGTGAAATTCAACCATCTTTATAAATCCCCCTTACACTAATAATATCGATCTTGTTTATTAATTTATTGATAAATATAGGCATCACAAAATAGTTACGACTCTGTTTTATCAAGTATTGTTGGAACAAATACTAGGCCTACTACATTTGTGATGACTACAGCTGCTTCTTCAAATCCTTCCACTTCGACCGATCTGTCGACAACAAGATCTACTAATACAACAGTAACATCGAATAATTCCATTAAAAATGTCAATTCACCTAGTTCCGCTCTATTTGACTTGGTTAATACATCATCAAATACTCCAGATTTGAAAATGCAGTTGTCTAATAGTCATGATCATCGTCATCATCCGATGAATAGTAATATTAATAATGATAATAATACTTGGTCATATCCACTTAACAAACAAATATTAGAATCATCCTATAACACTTCATTAATTGATCATTGTTGTAATAGCCCTAATATGTTAAGTCAACAGCAAAAGTCACAGTTAACATTTGATCATCAAAATGAGGCTTTATCAAATACTGTGGTTAGTTGTCATCATTGTCAACCTCATCAGCCTCTGTCAACATCAGCATCTTCATCATCTATTCATGATAGCTTATGGTTATCACAACATGATGATCATACATCAGGACAACAACCTCTGTTTCGCATAAATTCGTCAGAATTTGATCATATTGTTGATATTATTAAAAAAGATACTCATATTACTAATAATACTATTACTGATAATGACAGTATTAAAAATCGTCGTCATGTACCAGTTGATGAATTATCTATGTTAAAATTCGGTTCAGCATTTTCTTCAACCTCATTGGAAAAAACTACTACACCAGTATCAACAACCACATCGAATAGCAGTTGTTCATTATTATCACGAAATGAAGAGTTTCCTCTGACAATGAGTACATCGTTTCTGTCTGAAGCATCAATGTTAATAACAGACCAGGGTACAACGCCATCAATAAAATATACATGTTTACCATCATCAATTCATTGTTTATCTAATGCAAACACTACTACTTGTAGTATTAAATTTCTCAATTCTTCATCACAACGATCTGAATTATTTGGTTTAATGAATAATGATGATTGGTGGCATCCTATTTCAAACCATGCAAGTAGTAATAATGATACTAATGTACAGTGTCCAATAGATATGCATATATTTGACCAGAAATGGCCATCTATCGAACATGTTCAATCATCGAATAATGATAATAATAATTTAAATGTGTTAGCAAATTTTCAATTAAAGAATACTACAAGTACTGCTGCTTTTTTTGATGAAAAACACATGATACATACTACTAATATTAATAATGATAGTAATATTATGCCACCAAATATTCATTTGGTAAGTTGAAATTCTCTATTTTATCTATCGTCATTTTTTATTTATGAATTGATGCCTTAAAATTCTTTCTTAATTAATATTTCTGATCATTTTTAATTATTTAGTTATAAAATTCCAAGATGAAAATCTTCCCCAAATGCCCTAGTAATGTCGAGGGTAAAGAGAGTCAACTTTGCCTCTCGAAACGCTCTCACATAGACACGTTCATACAACCACTGTCAGAGAAGACCTACTCACTACCTTCTTGTGACGGGATTGTTGTTTACGAAGTTGAGAGAACGAAAAGCGAATGTCCGGCGCTTTATCCAAGTTGGTGGAAACTCCATCTAGAGAAGTTAGAAAACTCTGATCCCAAACCAATGTTGCACATAGGCTCCAGGATACTGAGGGAACAAATGGCGTATGAACCAATTGTTGATCACCGGGTACCATAAGGCTGCATCTGCTGACGTTGCTCCACTGCCTTGGGCACCTGGGCAGTATCTCAGCGCTCACAGAAAGCGAGTGAAAAAGTGTAGCGCATATGTATTCGGTGCCCTCCTGTACCAATATTTATGTGTTCAAATAAATTTAGAAATGAATCGCGATGAATTTTTAAGTGTACTTTGTATATATTTAAACAACGTTCTAGCAGTGCTTCAACAATCGTAATAGATACAATGTACTTCTGATCCGTTAAAGTAACGTAAACCGTGTCAATAATCGTCTAGACTTCCTCTGTGAATGAAATCGTAAACCGGCAATGAATGTTGCTAGTCAATATAATACTATTATTCAGTCATGAAAATGTTACACGGTTGTATTGTTCTGATATGATGTCAAATTCCCTTTTTATTGTGTAGAATTTCCTAAGCACGATACTTCATATGACTTTTCTCGAATTATAATAGGCATTGGGAACTAACTGTGTATACTGCAATATTCCAAATAAAAAATATATTATTAGGAATATTAGAATATATATGCAGAATTTACATGAGAATCTCTTAGCATCTACATGATTCGTTCCATAACACTTTTTGGTTTAAGATGAACTAATAAAATTGTTCCGATTTGGTCGAGTTATGCAATGAGATCCTGTTCTGTTAACACAAATCAAATACAAGCAAGTATTGATCATGAAGTTTATGGTCATTGATATGCTTATTGTTTTCACTTTTTAGACATCATTATTAAAACTGAACAACAACGAACCTCCTCATGTCTCATCATCAGTTATACTTAATTCTTCATCACTGTCATCTTCACCACCACTGTCATCCTCCTCTTGGTCAACACAACAACGAAAACAAGCTCATAAATCTAATTTTCACCGTCCAATACCTCAACCTTTACAATTAATTAATGAACCGAATTATCAAACACAACTTGGTATTAGCAGTCAATATTCACCAATTACACCGGCACCGATGAATATGTCTATGCACACATTAACAACAGAATGTGGAGGACCTACTACCACTACTATCTCATCGTCATCGGTAAACATAACAACAATAACCAACTGTATTAATGCTGATTCAAATCTATTTATTGCTGAACATCAACATCGTCCAGTAAATAATAATGTTGAACGCGAAAATTCTCACAAGTCTTCATCGTCAATATGTTGTTTCGATGCTAATCGATTAAGTTTGGGAAATTTTCCCGATTCATTATTATTTCCTTCAATGTATAATAATAATAGTGGTAATCTAATCGTCACTGATAATACTAATACTAATAATAATTTTGTAGGAAAAATGTTTTCTCATATTGATTCATTCAATATTAATAATAACAGTATAAAACCATCGGATATTTCTATGATTCCATCAATGAATCATACATTATTAAATCATGATCGTTTATTGAATATAACAACACAGAAAAGAAATTTATCAAAACATCAACATTATCAACAACAACAACAAATGAATAGTCAACAAAATCAACAACAACAACAACAACAACATCATCATCATCAATATCAACAATTGCCTGACCAACTTAATAATAGTAATTGTCATGATAAATTATATGAATCGAAAGGTAATTGTACCGTTTGTTATTCACAACATCATCTTTATCATCAAGTACAACAACAACAAAAACAACATTCAGAACCTAAACAATTGATTGATCATATTGAACAACATCAAAATCCATTAAATATTTGTCTTTTACCATCAACAACAACAACAACATCATCATCATCATCAGTTCAGTCATTACAATTAAGTGAGTTAATTGTACTGTTAGTATAGTGTAATTCGATAATTTATACTACTTATTTGGTCTGATACATCTGTTACCTTTTTTTCTCATTACTTTTAATATGTGATTTATCTGAATAAATTTCTATATAAGTAGACATGTATGATCTAATGGTACTCTGGAATAAGTGTTTGATTGTTCTGATTTGAAACATGAAATATGTGAATTGTTGTAAATGGATGTTTTGTTACTTATTCTCATTTGTAAGTTGTATAATTTGTCAGATTATGATATATCTATCGACTAGACTTTTGATACTTGTATGATTATACCAAGGGATGAATATGTACTATTCACACCTTGTAAAGAGCCTGGAAAATGTATGATTTAAAGTGAGGAAATCAATACATGATATTAGTCCATGAAGTCGTTGATTGTTGTTCGAAGTCATATTAGTTGTTATAGACTACTATATTAGGGTCCACTTCATAACCAATTACAATCACTAATTGGAATCGTTAGATGACATAGATCAGAATTAATTGTAGTAGTACAAATACATTCCGTTTTTCTGTCCCGTTGAATTTTGAGCTTCAAAATTATTTTCTGCTTTTTACTCCTTAATATGATTTCTCCTTTTCAAATTTAAGTTTTGGTACTTCCATTATTTCGATTCTTATGTTACTTATCTTATTAATTTCATCATGATCAGGACTAAAGGTCTAATACAAGGTCATTTATGTTCCGAATAGTTCAGCTTTAGTACCTAAAAGCGTATTACTGAGTGTCGTGAATCCGAATCCGACTAGAATCCATCTGTTTTCTTAAGACTAAAAGTACATATTACTTTCGGTTGCTGACTAATGTGAAACCTATTTTCAACGTTTTCTATCGATTTCCACTAACCCTCTCTTATCTCAAGAATAGTAGTGCGATAAATAACTCATCAACTTTATGCTTACTCAAATAACACATTTGTGTCCAACTCATGGTTTTTGAAGTGAAAATTAACTCTATTGTGCACTAACTTTATAATTGGAGCATTTTGTATGTTAACCAAATGATTTTAGGTGTAAATCATATTTCAATTTGATTGATTTACTGACGTGGAACTTTTTAATTTAATCACTCTGTAATGCGATTCTTTCATACAGGCAATGCTTTGAGAAAATTTGTGACCAAATGCTTATCAGTTTGCACACAATTCCCACTCTAAACAGGGATTTTGTGCATATTATAGTGATTTTAATAGTTTAGATCATGAGTCAATTGAAGCTAGACCACCATGTAAAACCTGGAAGCATTGTACGGCCGTTTGGTTCTACTGTGGGATTCCTCAGCAGTGCTTATCCACGATCCCGCATCACGATATTTGAATCCAGGACCTAACCATTAAAAACAATTGCGATCTCATTTCAATACTTGCGTAACATTTTTGTTCATTCATGTCGAGATTTTCATTTTAAAATGGGTATTTTTCAATTGATATTTAATGTTTACCCAATGCATCGTTCTTCCATATATAAATTCGCTTAGATTATCTACTGACCATTTCGTAAAATGTTGTTTTTTCAGTAGGGGGGGGGGAGGGGGAGACTTCAATGCATGTTTTAACGAATAATTTTAATTGTACACAGTTATCTTTTGAAATAAAAAAAATTGACATTATCTCATCATTATGTACCCATGGTGATGAATAGAATACATGAGGATTAATAGTTTCTATTCCTGTTTGACATACTCCCCGTTTCCTTTTTTTTTAAAAAAAAGATTATTTACTAACATCATGGCATCTGTTCATTTCATAGAGTAGTTCAGTTCGATTTTATGATTGTTCTGAATGAATCCCAATGAAAATAATGATAAGAAAATAGGAGAGAAAGAGAGAGAGCAAGAGAAAACTATTTACATTATTTCTGAAAAAATTGTTTATTTTGAAGAAAAGAAAAGATTTTTTTTCGCCACACTTTTTCTTTTTTACTATAAAACTGCGTTTGGTCGTTTTAGGGAGTGAAACAGTCGAACCGCGTTGACAACTTCATTTATCTTGGAAGTGTAACCAGCACTAATAGGTTAGTGTCTGATGAAAACTTAGCACGGATTTGAAAAGCTCGTTTGGCTTTTGTCAACTTATGTCACCTATTGTGAAGGCGAAATATCCGTAATAGTGAGGGTAGACACAAGGTATTAGGGAATAATGATAAATCAGTCAATGAGGTTGTGAATCTTCATCAACTGAGATGGTTGAGCCACATGTTACGTATGCCAGAACACTAATTACGACGACGCGTAATGCTCACTAATGTAGGGGATGGTTGGAATAAAGTTAGGGGTGGCCAAACCACAACATAGTGTCAGTCCTTGATGTCACTAACTTATAGTGTGAGCCATGTAGATGGTAGACGCAGACTACTGGGTTGGGGTGCGCGTGGTTATCGTAATCAGTGGTTGGAGACTGGATGACATGGCTGAGAATCGATCACAATGGCGTAGGTGTACACCACTGAATTAATTGCTTCTATGAATCCAGTGTTCATCTTGCTATGCTAACCGGAAATAACTATACATCATGCGATAAAAATCAAATAAAAAAATCTTTGACACCTAGAACTGTGTTGCTGATTGGTCGTAGAGGTATAAGGACAGCGGGTAGATCAAATAATTTTCACACTCTTAAATATATTATTTTTCTTTTTCTGCTCTCCTTTATCTATTACAGCTTTCTAGTAATCACTCTTACTACTAATGCTCGATATCAAACAACAATAGTCTTGATTAATTCTGCCTTCCGTCCAACATTTTGTCTTTGCTACACTAAATCAAATAATTACAGACACTTGTAGTGAAATTTACATTCCAATATACATCCATCATTGTTTAAATGAAGTGGGAACAAACTGTACTAAATTCAACATACATTTATTGAGTATTGAAAATGTTCCGAATAACCTCAACTCATAGTGTGCGCGCATACACACACATTGTTCCATTGGATTGATTGTATTATGCTGGAAAACATAAATAAACTAAGTAACTTTAAATAAATCCGTCCAGAGTTTTAATAATAATAATAATAATCGAATACATTAGAAGTGACTGCTACATAGATCCATATCTGTTGGATGCATATAGTTCAACGTAGAGTATAGTGTAAAATTCGGTTAGCCAAATTCTCATACTACACTAGCACAACATGATGAAATTAACGTGATGAGTACCAAACAAGATGAATTACTAGTAATATCAACTACAATGTGAAAGATTAAACATTTCAGAATACAGTCCAGATAGAAAGGATGAAATTGAGGAATGAAAAGTACAAAATAATTTTGAAGATTAAGATTTAGCACATGACGAAAAGTGAATACATCTGTAACGCCTGTAAGCGATTTTAAGCTATTCCATTCAACGTTCCCAGCCATTGATAGTGGTTATCAGGACCTAAAGGGCACTCAAATCAAGGCTTAGCATCAGTTTATGATGTCAATAACTATTAGTCTGAATCATTTTAGTCGATACGGACTACCATTATGATGCTATTTACGTAAGCAGTGGCTGTAGACATTAGATAACATTGACTCACATTCGTTTTCGGTGAAACAGATACATTCACTCTTCGTTTACTGTTAGATCCTGATTTTCAAAATTGTCACGTACCTTTTTTGGGTTAATTTGTTCTTTATCTATATGTGTACTACTAGCGGTTACATCAAGTGATTATATTTAAACTTCTATCCTGTTGTTGTGAATAAGAACACAGGTCTGGGCGCCCAATTTATTGTTTAGTATAAAACTACAGAATCTCTTGGTAAAATATAAGCATACTTCATTTGCAGATCTCTCATCATTTGTTCTTCACATTCTGCATCAGTCACAGTTCCTTTCTATTTCCGTTTCTGTGTTGTTTTTTTTAAGTCGACCTTCATTGTCTTCTGCTGCCATTCATTCCCCTTCTAAATGGTGTTACATATTATTTATATCTGTCGACATAAATAGCATACACCATAGTGTAACTATTACCATAACATTTTTTCTAGTCTTCATTTCTTCACGATGTTTGCCGTTTTCTAGTTGATTGTTATCACTTTTACACTGTTAATTTTCCCATATTTCTCAAGGTCTTGTTTGTTTTTACTGTATTTATGGAGTACTACTTCAATTTTGTTTTGTTAAGTTCTTGAATAGCAATATTTTTCTTCACTCCTATTCTCTTCCTGGGTTTCATCGTGTTTATGTTTCAATCAGTAGCCATACTTTCGTGTTGAGATGGGTTCACGTTCTTGCAAAATGCAATCTTAATCGTTTGTAACGGGAAAATAACTATACATCTAATAAAGTCCCTAGCTCTAAGATATAACATAAAACATATTACCTTAAGTTTTATAAATTAATTTTCATGTTTATTACGTTTATTTTAAATTTAGACATTCCACCGTCAAGTTCATCATATTACCCTAATCGTCATCAATATCATGAACAAGGAAATGGTAATGATCATTTTAATAATAATAATAATACAAATTGTCGACGGAATACAGAATCATCGTCACATACTTGTTCTCAATATTCATATTATCAACCTGTCGCAAACTCATTAGGAAGCATGGATTTTGCACGTCAATCCACACATGAATTTATTAATACTTCTACAGTGCATAATAACGATAGTATTTTTATACCTTCCTCATGCATTTCATCACTGAATCCAAATTGTTGTTCTGTAATGAATATGACATTATCATCGTGTTGTAATTCATCAGCTAAAACAGTAGCTACAACAACTTCTCCACTGTCTATTGCAACATCTTCAAATTTCATTCATGCAATAAGTGCAACTAATATTACTCATGGTTGTAGTAGTAATCAGTACTCATTATCAGTGAATGGAAATAATTGTTTTAATTTAAACCGAAATCGATTACAGTATAAACAACCGCTCCTTGGACCACCACTATCGTCCACACTGCATCTTGGACAAGAACACCTTTATTCTCTTCCACCACCACCACATCATCATCATCACTACCACCATCATCAACAACAACCAACAAAGTATCCAATAATGTCATCCACCTCATCCTCGTCGAATCATGGGATTTATTCTTGTTTGGATAAAATTGATAATTGTCGCTTTTTCAATGGGTCCGAATTATTATTGCACAATCAACTTAATCATATGAATGGTTCTATACGAAATCATCACAATAATATAAGTAATAATAATAATACTAAAAGTAATGTTAATAATAACGATCATAATTACAAACATTTATTCCGTTGTAATGAACAACCGGATTCATTTACAAAACATACATCTAGAAGTCATTGCTGTTTAACCTGTTTAGAACTAGAAAGGAAACGACATATTTCTGCACCAGCAGTTAATAGTATTTCATCACAATCCTCTTGGCCATCATTATCGTTATCGTCCTCATCATCTTCATTATCTGTACCATTATCATTATCGTCCCATAATTCATCAATTTCACCGTTAACCTGTCCTGGCAATCCACAGTCCCATTTACAACCATCAGCTTTAACGAGCCATAAAAATGAATTTGTGAATAAATCTTATTCCTATCTACCGGAATATCATAATCATCATTATCGTGTTCATCATCATTATCATCATCGCGGTCATTATTGCAAAGGTACTAGTTCCAGTGAAGGAGGTGTTGGTGATCAACCATCAAGTGATGTCGTTGCCGAATTGTTAATGCAAAGGTCAGTTCTAGCCGTGTTTATTTGATAATTACTCTTACATTTCTCATTAGTTCTCCTGTAATTATAATAATTTACACCTATTTCTTGTATTCAATTATGACATCATCATCTCTCTCCCCCCACGCACATTCGTTCAATTATAAGTTCAACTCAAGTGAGTATAAAAAGTAATCGTAATTAGTGAACCAACTAAATGACTTTATGCAATGTTATGTGCTAAATTACATTTGTAAAACATGTTTTATTGATTTACACAAATCAATGTGTGCAAGATTTAGTGTGCCCTAAATGAAAAGAATCCCACTTCATCTCACTACAATATTTGTTTTTTTTTCATATCACAAAAGTTTATTAATAAAAGGTAATTGCCTGAGATTGTTCAGTTGTTTTCTCATTCGACAATGCTTGCAAATTCATCTTATTGTTGTGATCATGTTATAATTTGTGACCGCCAATTAGAGAGCAGTAACTTATCGGTCGGATCAATGACGCATAAAACACGTGTGAGCAACCTAGAGGCCGATTGGCCCTACTTTCCGCCTAGCCCAGCCAGTTAAGTCCAGAACACCAATCCGAGCCTCTGAGATATGAATCAATATATTTCAAACATACTGAGTTTATATACCAATCAAACGGACCACAGCGTACCGATAAAATATGAAACAACATTTGTACAAGAATTAGCTAGACGTGGATGTGAATAAGGGAGATAGTAATTAATATACTGGGTATAACTCAAGAGTGGTAAAACGTATAATAATAGTTTATGGGTCAAAATAAAGCTTATAATAAGAGGAATATGAATATGCATAGTTTAGCTACTTAATAATTATACAATAAAAATATACGTTTAGTATTGGTCCATCAATAGATCCCAAAAGTTACCATTCACTATTCTTGTCGGGAGATAACAGATCATGAACTGATCAATATTTGACCATCATTGAAAACCGGAAAGCACTAGGCGGTCGTTTCGTTTTAGTATAACACTCCTCAGCAGTGAACAGCTATGATCCCGCTCACGGGACTCGAACTCAAGATCTTCGGTTTTGTATGCGAACGCTTAACCTTTAGACCACTGTGTTAATGTCTAACTTCAACCAATCTACAATATTTTAGTATGTTTTCGTGTTAAATTTTATCTCTACATCCGTTGGTGTTAATGTATGTAATATTCTATGTGCAACTTCTCAACAGTGCATCTAGCTTCAATTGAGTCTGTTGAAGCAAGACCACCATGGAAAGTCTGGAAGCACTGGATGGCCGTTTCGTCCTATTGTGGGACTCCTCAGCAGTGCGCACCCACGATCCCGCACCCCGCGAGATTCGAACCCGATGGACTATCAGTCTCACGCCTAAGCTCTAGACCACTGAGCTGGCATCCAACGGTTTTAATATCTAAATTCAACCAATCCACGAGATTGCGCAACCGTACACCATTGTCTTCAGGGAGCTGCTATCTCACAACAGACCTGGTTGGGCTCCACTAGTAACGGCTTCTCACTAGAACTCCAGGAAATGCCTCTTAAAGTCAGTCACTAGTGAGCAGATGATTATTATAAGAAGAGGTTTTGTGGAAATTCTAGAAATTTCAACAGCGTAATGGTTAGGTGCTCGCGCACGAGACTTATAGGTCCTTGGTTTGAATCTCGCGGACGGCGGGATCGTGGGTGCGCACTACTTAGAAGTCCCATATTAGGACGAAACGGCGGTTCAGTGCTTCTAGGTTTTCCATAGTATAGCTTCAATTGGCTCATGAATACAACTATTGAAATATTTTATATGTTGATCAATTCATTTTACTGTTAAACATATTAGTCTATTCAATCATCATATGTAGGTATGTATACATTATATTATATAAAGCAAAATATTTCTCTGCTTATTATATTAATTAAGTAGGAAAAAATATCAGTCTCTCTCTCTCTCTCTCTTCACCTCATCCACTCACTGTCTATGAAGTACATAAACAGGCAGTTATTATCATAAATTATAAATTTGTATGGTGTAGCACAAGTTCATACCTATCTACTCGTTATTGTTCTATCATCAATCTATATACATATACAACTACATACATGAACTCAACTTGTGATACCTTTGAATAATAGTTAATAATGATCATTCAATGATGATTGGTCTTGTCCATTTATACTTGTATATATGTGTATACCTCATATCATGGATCTAGTTATTTATTTACTTTTTTTTTTTAAGGTTGAGTAGAGGGAAATCACAGTTAATCTTGTAAATTATTCTAGTGGTTATTTGTAGTTGTTTGTTGACTTGTACACATTATCATTATTATTGTTAAGTTAATTTCTTGTTAAATCTTGTTACTTGATATGATTTTTCTATCAACCTTTTCTTGGTTTGTACTGTCTATGCTTAACTAGACTACATTAAATTTGTGTGTAGTGAATATAATTGAATGAACAGATTCATAACTCCATATCCATATATAACTTTCTTTCTTTCTGTTCAGTGTAATTTCATCGATTCATTAAAAAAAGAAAGATCTGTACTCAGAACAGATCTATTTAAATTAGAATTCTTGTGAATATCAGTATCCAAGTTGTTTAAAGTTTAAGACATTCCGGGTAGTGTTCTGTAGCTTTCAAACATGGGTATTCATATTTCAAGGAGGAGTTCTGATTTCGAATGAAATATTTGGTCTATTTTCACATATCTGACTTGACTTTCTTCGTGTTTCTTCTATCCACTATTTTGACGTTTTCTTAGTTGAACCCATGATCACCGGACAAGTAATAGTGAGGCTAGGAAATGATGGTAAAGCAGTTGATGAAGTTGTGAATCTTCGACTGAGATGGTTGAGCCACGTGTTACGTGTGCCTGAATACCGATTAACACGACGCTCAATACTCACTAGTGTAGGGGATGGTTGGAATAAAGTTAGGGGTGGCCAAACCACAACATAGTGTCAGTCCTTGATGTCACTAACTTATAGTGTGAGCCATGTAGATGGTAGACGCAGACTACTGGGTTGGGGTGCGCGTGGCTATCGTAATTAGTGGTTGGAGACTTTGGATGACATGGCTCAGAATCGATCACAATGGCGTGGTTGTACACACTTTGTTTTCCCTTAAACTATGAGAATAAAATGGCTTTTTATCTTTCTTTCTATGAATTAATTTTTTCTTCCTGTACTATATCCTTATACACAACCTCTGTTTTATATATTACCACCACTGAATTAACTAATTCTATGGATTTGCTGTTTATGTTCTTGTGCTAATGAGTTATGGCAAGTTGTACCGATGCCTAGTCCTACGTTGTAGTTGACTGACTGATGTCATGTCGTTTAACAATTCACTTAGTGTTCATGTAGATGTAGATGATCAGGACGTTAGATACACTGCCAAAATAAACATCTAAACAACAACCATACAGTTATAGATAACAACTAATCAAATTTCAGGTCAATAAGATGGTGTTAATTGATTGTATTAGAGAAATTCTAATATATCACTTCTTTTTAATGTATATGCTTATGATTTTGTTCAGATGAATAGTGAAAACTTTACAAACAAACCAGTTACGTCGACATTCCTAACGTCCATTGGAAATAACTATACAGAATTTTTTTTTAAATTCTCTCTTTTGTTATTGAAACTTTTTTTATATACAAGTTTTTAAAAACTCCGCTTGGAGCCCCTCTTGGGCTACTGCCGGTCCCAAGGCCAGGTTAGGCATGGAGTTAGCGACCCCATCCTGTAGAAAACTAACTCGCTAAGAAAAAACGCCAAACAGCAAAAATAATTCAAACCATATATAATTTTTCGTGGTGAGTAGTAGTTATTATGTACTTCACAAGAGCGATTTACTTTTTTCCAGTTTCGTATAATTATTCGAGATAACAGTAGTTTACTCTCTATTACGATATGGTTAAGGAATATGATCTATGAAAATAGTAGACATTATAGATATTACAGTTTTTTATCGCGATTGTTTTCAAAGCACTAGTGGCTTACGGTAAGAAGATCGAGCTAGCTATTATAAAGTTAAACGTTTAGTTCCATGCAAGCATCATAAATTGGTGACTAAAAACGTGAATCTTTGTCAAATGAGGTGGCTGGGACATGTGCGATGTATGTCAAATAAGCATTTCTACCTCGATGCCAAATGTTGGCTGGAGTCGCAATAGTTTGAAAATAATATATGGTCACCCAAGGCAAAATATGGGTTCAATCCATAAAACAATCGATTGTTCTTCCGGACCGTATTCGTAGTGTAGTAAACGAAATCTCAGGTTGGGGAAATCAATTTATTGTTTAGTTCAAAATTACAAATTGCCTTCTTAATATATGAAAACCGTACATTATTTGCACATCTTCCTTCAGCTTTCCTGTACGTGCTTCATGGTTCTTCCAATCTTGTCGTTATTGCAATTGCTATCTGTTTACCTTCCTGTTCTCTTCAATTCAATCTTCTGCTGGAAAACTTCCTACTTTTGATTTATCCTATATACTAATTATATCTGTCAGCATAAGTAGCATCCACCACAGTAGGTTCAAAGTACTTGGCTAGAATCTCGGTAATACCTACAATCGATGGTTGGAAACGTTGGGTGATATGAAAAGATGTGTAATGGATAGCAGTGGTATCTAAGACGCTCGTTTTGTCCTATTTGGGACTCGTCAACTGGATATACCTGCATCTCAGAGTTGATATCCACTCTTGGACTCGAACCTAGTACTGTTCACTCCAAACGCCATCGCGTTATCCACTTAGCTACTGAGTCCTGATGGTCATTTGCTTGTGCAATAGGATGAAGTTTAAATTCACTTGGTATTGTTTACTTCTATCTTCTCATTGGATTTCACTGCTAGCCACTATCCATCTTTGCTTATAAGGCTTGCGACTTATCGAGGCAATACGCACAGTATGCACATATACCAATAGGACACTGATCAATTGCAGTCCTAAACATCAATGGGAAGATACAAGTAAAAAATACGAAATGAGTTGGATGATATGGCTCAATATCAGTTACAATGGGTTAGGTGTATTCACTGTTTGTCTTGTGCTGATCTTAGTCTTCAACAATGTGCTTTCCATTTCTCAATTTCATCCCTTCTATCTAGACTGTATTTTGCAATGTTTAATCTTTCTCACCGTCATTATGTATTTGAACAAATTTTTCATAATTCTGCTTGTTATAATGTTTAAGTGTACGTCGTCTGCACAATGTTGGGACCACATGATCACTTTCTATAATCTCAACTGATCGGGGTCATTTACAGAAGTGAAAAACAAATCAATTCATACTGTTTGTTTCTACACTTCAGTCAGTCAGTCAGCTACAACGTAGGACCAGGCACATATTTGCATCGGTCCAGGTTGCCATACCGCATCAGCACAACAAGATGAACACCGGATTCATAGCAGTGGTTAGGTCAAAGGTAGTAATATATAAGAGAAAGATTGCATATAGAGATATAGTACAAGAAGAAAGAATTGGTTCGTAGAAAGAAAGATATGAAGCGATTTTAATCTCTTAGTTTAAGGGAAGACAGGGAGTGTATACACCGACGCCATTGTGATCGATTCTGAGCCATGTCACCAAGAGTCTCAAACCATTGGTTACGATAGTCACGTGGACCCCAACCAAGTAGTCTGCATCTACCAACATGGCTCAAACTAGAAGTTAGTGACTTCAAGCACTGATGCCACGTTTTGGTTTGGCCGCCCCTAACTTTCTTCCAACCATTTCCAATACCGGATAGCATTGCACTTCAATGAAGTTATTTCTTTTTTTCAGTAACAATAAACAACTCTGGACTCAATATTTTATCTTGTTGATATATTCTTAACATATTTTTTTTCTTTTCTTAGAAATTAGCAGATTTTTTAATCAGTGGTTAACATTTTGCTACGTGATTATTTGACGTGAGCTGTAATTGTCTGCTTCAAATCTGATTGATTAATCATTGTTATTACTTTAGCATTATTCAATGTTGATGTATTCATTTCATACTTTTGACTGATCATTTTCATTGCTTATTTTTGAAACAAAATTATTACAGACGTAGGTTGTTGAAATATAATACTTTACCGCTATAACACCGTTGTAGATTCAACTTTAGAACTTCGTTCTCAGACATTACGTTTGCTGTCTTTAGTTTCACCTTGTTCAAACTAATCTGCTTGTTTATGGTAGGAACTAAAAGCATAAATGTTTCACACTATGTAAATCAAGAAGGTCATCACGATATGCAAGCTCGAGCACCATCTCACGTTATCAACTGTGATGAGGATTCTGTCGAAATTAGACAGTTACATTTTCATTTCCAGTCAGTTCATAATATAATATAACCATTATTACTAGTCTAAAGTTATCATGCTCATAGTGATACACATATTTTTTCCATCTATATGTTTTTCGTCTCTAGCCATATTACTGATCCAGATGGATTATCATCATTAACATGTGATATACATAATTCTTGTCCAACAACACCAGAACTGTCGTTAACTCCTGTCCCATCACCAGCACTACCACAACCACCACCACTGCCGTCGCAACACCAAAAACCTTTATTAGTAGCAAGATCTACAGCAGAAACGGTTGATCAGTCATTCTCTATTTTAGAAGATGAATGTTTATACCGACCAATAAATATTATGAACAACATGTCAAGTATATTTCCAACTAATAAAATGACATGTATTCCATCATCGTCATCATCATTTCTAGTGCCATCATTATCACCGACAACATCACCACCAGTATTACCGTTTTCATTATCATCGATATCACAAGAAGAAACAACATCTTTCTTTTCATGTACTGATTCACATTTAATGACTAATTCATTTCGTTCTATGGATATAGAAGATTTGAGTATTGAACAACATCAACAACAGCACTTTTCGAAAGTACCAACTCATCATCATCATCATGAACAACAACATCAAAAATTGCCTATCAGTTTACATCTTCCAATTACTTCTTCATATTCAGTATCCAATTTAAATCAGTCCGAGTTATTGGACCTGACTGTACCACCATCGATTACACAAAATAATATTGTCAACTGTGATGATCACGATGAAATGATCAAAAAAACAACAAATCAGACAACATCCAATAATAATAATAATAAGTATCTTTGCGATTCAGGAAATGATTCGGTTGCAGCAAAACTTTCCAAATCATTAGCTGAAGATAATTTATTCCGTAATCCAACAGCATTACCACCACCGAAAAAAATGAAAAGTAAACCAGCGCCTATTTCAATTCCCCCACAAGTAAGATGTTTTTTCCAATTTTTTTCATTTTTATTTGCAAACTGATTTCAACCAGATAACCACTAAAAGCCAGAGGGCACTAAACATGTGTTTTGTCTCAATATGTTGCTCCTCAGGGTTGTTCACTCACGAACCCGTCAGCAATTGGACCAAGATCCCTTACACCTTGTAGCAAACTCCTGGATTTCAGATCGCTGATCTGGCGTCAAGTAATTTGCACTTCTAACTCTAGTCGCTTGATAATATTAAGCTGACTTAGTGAACTGAAAACTAGGACTTGCAACGAGTCCTAGAGGTTCTTACTGCTGTTTCAGGTAGCCACAGGGGTGCTCACCGCTAGGTAGTTACATGCTGGAATGAGGCAAATATCCATTGTTTCTAGTAGTAATGGTTGTTTAGTTAAAGTCATCCTTGCCCGAACGACCATAAACATTTATTGATGAAAATGAAAATAATTATGTGTTGTAGGTAATTGTGGGACTATCAGTTTGTTGATACTGACTTTAGACATAAAAGCTTGTCAGATAAAAGAGTTAGTGAAGGTGATTTATAGCTACGACGAATGATTTTGAGGCACTTGCGTGTTCTGCTGTAGATGATATAGCCATGAAGCCTTCACAACTCTTCTGAACATCAACATCTGCACTAACTTCAGGTAGGACTGGGAAATTCCACTTTCTACACATATAACTTACATCTTATCCTGTGGATCTTGATCTTGACTGGTTATCGATGACCTTTATTCGTATTCTAGATTCTGGCCTTCTTGATTGATATTTTCTGTAGGTCGATAGTTATTTTTAGTATAGGGGTTTGTGGTAATTGTCAAGTGTTACTGAAACCAATTTTTTCAACGAACCCTTGTATTGATATTTATCATATTCTATCTGATGGATAGGTATTTCTTGGAGTTCTACTGCGAAGCAGTGACTAGTGGAGTCCAACTGTATCGCGTGTGAGGCAGATAGATGTACAGTATTATGAATTGGTTGATGAAGTTAGACATGTACACTATTTGGTGCGGATTCAGTAGTCCGATGGTCATGTTTGTACAGAAAATTAGTGGTATTTATAGTCATTCAGATGATCTTGGGCCTCTGGAAGTTTCTGGAACACCAGTACGCATAACGGCAGGATAGGTAATCCTTCAATCAGAAGTGTGACACGTTTCTTTTCACTTGCTTGATGTTTTGTGAAACTTCTATTTAAGACTGATTGGATATGATGTTTTCAGGGTCCCTCTGAACTTTTTCGAGGGATACCTAACATCTTCTCATTATTAAAAGCTTATAAATGTATGAATTGCGTTGATACACTTCACTTACCGTTTGTTTCATATGTCGACCATTCCAAAATATTCACCCGGTCGGTCGCGTATCTTCACTCCAGGCTTTTCTGTTGTAGGAGTAAGCTGGAAGAAAGTGCAAAGATACAAACTGTCTTGTTGCTATCCATGCTATAACTTCAATCAGTGGCTAAGGAAGTTGAATAATATAGGTCACAAACAACCCGATTAGCTCAGAAGCATTCATTCTTCGTCGTGCTCTAGATGTTCAGTTCCTGTATTCCGTCTCATTTATTTTTTGATCTATGTTCCCGTTGCTGAATACTTCTAATTATGATTTATAATACATAATTTTCATCCCTTTTGTTATTCGTCTTGTTGTGCTAATGTTGTAGTATGGTAACATGAACCAATGCACATTTATCATAATTTCTATTGTTCAATAGTTCTAAACTAGAACATCACGTTCTGGCACAGATTTGACCGAGTCACATAGTTTATGGTGATTATATTCTTTGAATGAATAGGAATATTTTCTTAATTTTCATCTTAATATAATATGCAACGTATATACAAATTAGTATCGTAATTTAATTAAGATGTTAATTAATCAATTAAATACTTAGTCGATTACTAAACATTGGATCACAGTTTCAAATGCCGTTTCATCTAATTACATTCAGGTTACTAACTAATATCTATTTAACACTGTTAGAAAGTGATAATGACAAATCAAGAAACCTTTAAACCTGAATTGACAGACTGTCCATCAGTTACCAGATCCATCTGCTATTTACAAAACGTTAGCATGCTCCAGCCAATAGGCTTCTTGATCCTTACGCAAGCTTTGCACAATTTCACTACGTAACAATCCTCGTTTATTGTAAAACTTGAAACAGAAGCTACAGCCAATTTGCTTACATCGATCTGTTTAAGACGATGACTTTGTTAAGTACTGAAACTTAAGATAACGTATTATGTTTTTATCAGTTAACTGATGAAAGCCCACAGTTCATTAGAATGAAGGTTAGCATTTATTCTTTCTGAATTGTAAGAACGTCGATTTCTAAGTGAATTAAACATTTTTTCAAATTCAAGAATGAAACATTTCATTAGTTTTTTGGTTAGTAATGATTGAACTATATAACTTTATTTTCAATGTGATTATTTTCTTTAGACCGGTGCAAATTTGTCAAGATTACGTTCTCCACGTGTATGGAGTTCAAAACGATCTTCGCTTAATTCTAGTCCTCCACCATATACACCACCTCCAATGCTTAGTCCAATCCGTCAAGGTTCCGGTTTGTTTTCTTCATTATCGCGATGGGTGCCAACTCCAACAGCAGTATCAGGGGGAGGAGCATCAGTGACGACGTCGACAGGAACTCGTTCTGTCGGGAGCGGTACACTGATGAATCGTCGATTCTCAAGTTATTATTCATCGATCTCCCATCATAATGACTCAGAAATTAATAATATTCCTAATACTTCTACTATGTGTGCCACTGGCAGTGGGGTCAATAGTGGTGGTCAGTTGAAACGACGTCATGCAAGTAGCAGTGGTACTAGGAGTAATACCAGTGAGATTAGCACTTCAAATCAGAGTATTAGTATGGTAGATTCTGGTAATAATATATTTACTGACCCTACTAATACTATTACTAATAATAATAGTTATGACAATAACAACGTAAATACAGGCTCAATCACTGACTTGTATATGCGTGATGTAAATCGACCAATAGCCTATACACGTAGACGACGTCAACAACTCACACCAAAGTCCGCTCCTGTGTTAATTCTTAACTGTAATACGACAAAAAATTCGGTAAGTTCTTTTTACAATTTTCATCTTTGGTTCCAATGTACTTTTGCATACAACATTTGGTAGTCAATTTCTGTTGAAACTGCTCATCAATTTCATTACTTATTATTGTACTGAACTACGCATGTGTGTATATGAATCTCATATGAAGGTGAAGCTTTGTTTATAAATACTACAGTAACTTAATCTTAAATCTTTCTACATTCACCATTTCCGAAATTCGTACTATTTTTATTTCTTTGTAATTTGGTACATGAAATCTGGTACAACTGAACATTAAGAATTTCATGCACCCGATAAAATAAAGAGATCAGATTGTGAAAAGTTAGATGGGGTAAAGGCAATGCAACAAAATAAAAGAATAAATAAACAATTATAGTGTATAGTAGAAGATACATTTCTTTTATATATACATCCTACAGGGATTTCTATCGATTCATATAGTCCCTCTCACCTTAATGAAGATTGTAAGAGAAAGCTGAAGTAGGATCGCTATTGTCTACTATTCTGAATCATGTTTGATGACATCAGAAGTCATTGAGTCGTACCATATCTAGGAACACGACTTTCATGTCATAAGATCATCACTTTTCCACCTAGTTCCAGCTTGAGGAAACGACGGACAATGTGGAATTTTCTGAGATGATGTTCGTATATTCATCTAAGCCATCAAAGCCGGATTTTCAAGATGATATTTTGGAATCAATTTTGAGATATCTTTGTGATGGATACGTGTAGGTCTGTTATTTGGCGAAATAAACTTTCTAATCTTGAATAAGCGATTGAAATCTTTACTATCCGTTGCATCATAGTGATATTTCCATTCAATTAGTTGACGATGAACATCTGTTAGTATGAAATGGAGTGTTAAATATTTGTATAAAACAGAATTCGTTCTCACTTTCACATTCAGCAGTCAGGATGTTCAGGTCTTTAGGTAGTCGTTTGGCAAATAACATTAATCTTCGTCCAGTGAAAGATACACGACTTCTGTTAGTGTTGAATTAATTTTATCTCTGCTGTTATATTGTTCTAATCATAAAAAGTGCGATAACCAACGCTTTTATGATGAATAATTTCTCTCTATGCTTATGAAACCGTAAATCTGAGAATTTCCCGTAACCAAAGATGTTCGTATATCATTGTCTAAAGAGAATTCTTCGATTACTGAGAGCTTTAAAGGTCGTGAGTTCGGTTCCTTAGGTGGATATTTCTTCGGAGTTCACAGTAAAGGCTCCTTGGTTTTCGATTTTTCATCAGCTTACGTGTCGATTCTTGATGAACAGTCAACATTATCATAAATACACACACACACACACCAACGTAAGGCATTATTTGAAAGTTGTTCTTTACTCGATCATGTCTCAAAATATCGATTAGACATTGTAACTTTTTTATTTCTAGAATATGGACAAGACAAGTTCATCGCTCACTCCTTTTGTAGCTAGTTCTGATGTCTACTCCTAAGCATCTTTGTATGTTTATCTTTCTACGCGTTATTTACCTATTTGCCTATCTAATAGCTGTATCTCCATCTGTTTATGTACCTATCAATTGATTATCTATTTGGCTACGTGCGTGTCTGTTCTGTTTTTTGAGTTGTATGACATCTGTGGGATAAAAATATGTTTAAATTCAATCAATTCACGATATTGCACGATCATCTACCAGTACCTTCAGTGGTTGGCTGTTTCACACCCAATTTGGTTGAACTCTACCGGTTACGACTTCTCTCTAGATTTCCAGGAACCGCGTCTTCAAGCTAGTCACTAATGAAAATAAGATTATTATCAACAGACGTTTTATTGGAGATTTTAGGATTTTTATAATTTTAATCAGTAGAGTTCAGCTATGTCGGGTTCTATACAGTTAGTCAACTCATTGAGTGGAAGATTATGGTCTCGCAATATCATGAATTGATTGAAGTTATACAGCTCATTGGTCTAGAGGTTAAACGTTCACCCTCGAGACCGTTGGTCCTGGATTCGGTTTTTTATTATGAGGTCGTAAATATGCACGTACTGCAACGAAACATCTGTTTAATATTTTCCGGTTTTCAATGATGATCTAAGACTAACTCGTAGTTCAAATTGGAAATTTCACAATCTTCATAAATACTGTTATTGATTTCAATAGTTGAGATTATGAGTCAATTGAAACTAGACCACTATGAAAAATCTAGAAGCACTGCATGGCCGTTTCGTCCTATTGTGGGACTCCTTAACAATGAGCATCAACGATCTCTTCTCACGAGATTCGAATCCAGGACCTATCGATCTCGTGCGACTCATGAACTCAATTATTGAAATTACTATAACATCCACAAAAACCCCTTCTGATGTTATTCATTTGTTTAAAATTTCCTTGTATTAAAAGAGTATTGTTTTGCTGAAACAATATATATATATATATGGTTTGGAAAGAGTTCTTGTTAGTTATCGAATGAAAAATCTTTCATATCTGTCGTCTACTAGTTTTTCTGTGTGTTTATATACATGTATAACTCCATCTCGTATTTATTGGACCATATAAATTATAAATGATTAGTTGACATGCAATTTACCTATGAATTAATTTAGTGTTGTTATTTGATTACATGTTCAAGTTGTCGGTTTATTCAGTCGTGTTGTTGTTGTTGACATATATTTATCTTCTACTTAGATATTATTCCTTCTAGTTACATTCACTATGTTTTTTTTCCGAGTATAATCACATTTAATAGAGATGAGTTAAACACAGAATCAAGGATCAAAGATCTCGTTGGCGATGATAAATTTTCTTTGAAAAGCATTCAGGAAATAATACTTGAGTGCAAAGATGAATGATGGCTAACAGTGGAACTCGGGACGCACTTTTCGTCGTATATAAGACTTGTCATCTGGATGTACCTGCATCTCAGAGTTGATTTTCACCCTGGGACTCGAACCCAGTAATGTTCTCTTCAAGCGCTATCGCGTTATTTACTTAGCTACTGAGTCCTGATAGTCACTCACTTGTGTAATGAGGTGAAGTTTCAATTCACTTGGTGTTGTTTGTTTGTATCTTCCCATTGTTGTTTAGGACTGCAATTGATCAGTCTCTTATTGGCATATCTGCATCCTACAACTCATTGGTCGTGTGTTGAATGTTTAGAACAATTCACAACGGTTCTATTGTTTGGTGTCAACACACTAAAGAAGTTTTTAGATTTAATTAAAGGCTTATCAACAGAATCGTGTATAAATAGTCTAAAAAAAGAATACATAAAGAATTGGTACCTTTTAAACTGATACTTACTCTAATATTAAGTGTATCCTATTCTATGATTGAAGTTAAAAATGTAAAACCTAGGATTCTAGATCACTAAACAAACGTATGTTGTACTCGTTGTGAGAACTAAGTCTTCCTGATTTCATGCTGGCTATAAGGTCATGGATGCATACCAATTAAGCAGTAAAACTATATTCCAACGACGAACCAAACAGATTCAATGTACTTATTGTTTGAGTTTTGCATGAAATTCAAATGAAAGCTGACTTGTAACTGATTAGAAGCTTATCAAAACATATTTATGTTCATGCTTTAACGCATTTATGATTGATAAATATATTTGTTGTTCCATTGTATAATGAATATGATATGGTGTGAAGGTTAAGTTATAAGAAATACCTGATTCGGATGCAGATTGTATCTACAATCTTAAATACATGTCGGTCGCACATTGTATGATATAGGACAGAGTTAAATGTATTTACGGGACGATATCTCAAGGTCCCGTGTACGTCATAAATTCATCAATACATAAAAACCAACTTTAATCTTTCGGAATTTTTCCGGGTTTTTTTTTAGTGATAAATTATACTCTAACTTCATTTACATTCTGATTGTGTAATAAAAGTAAAATTTCACTAGCCAATTTAACGATCACTCAAGTTTGTCGCTAACGTATAGTTACATTACCTAAGATTTACATACCATAACAAAATAATAACTAAATACACTCGTTCTCTTGAGTTTTCAATGGTCTCTTCAATTGTATGATGAACTCGTTATGAAAACTGATAAATTTTTTCTTAAAACTATTTCATTCATGATTGTTTTTTTTTTCTCTTCACTGTAGGCAAATCAATCAAGAGATCTTCAAGACAATGAGTTATCACTTCAATCTCAACAACAATTCTCTAACACTGATACCGTATTTGGTTATGATGATGAGACTATGCGCCGTTTTGCGGAAGCCGATGAAGCTTACCGGTTAAATAGACAAAAACATCAAGATAAACGGTATTCACGTCGTCGACATGATACTGAGATAAATGCATCTAATGATCAAATCAATCACCATACTACTACTACTCCTACCGATGATGATAATAATAACAGTAATGAATCAATTCTTAATAAAACTGATCACAGTTTCAACTTTGCTGATGAACAGTTGTTAAATTTTGATATTGAAATGAAAATTAAAGAGACAAACTATTCTGAAACAACAATACAATTTAATAGCGATGTTGAATTAGACTCGGAGCATGAAATGGAGGATGAAGAGGATGATGACGATGAAGAAGGTGTTCCAACTAGTATTATTCCGTGAGTATTTCTGTATTTTAAGTTTTATATTTTCTACACAAATAATCGAGATAAATAAAGTATGATGGCTTAGACGGTCAAAGCATTCGACTTTTCATCATGGTATCCTAGGTTCAATTCCTGTTTCACCCACTTTAATTTGAACACTCATGTTGCAGGTCTGTGTAAATTTGCTATTTCCTGCTTCCCACACTGCAGAAGGATACACATTATAGACGATCTGTAAAGAAGACTGAGTCAGGGCTCCAGTTGACGACCTAGAAGTGTCGCTGCAGCGTTCGTGGAATAACTGTCTAGAGCCAGTCGCATACGCCCATTTTGTGAAGACTTTTAGGTGCATTAGCTCCTTACATTTAAAACATTACCGCCAACAATGGAACCCTATAGGAAAAAGGTGAGGTACTCTATTTTTAGACCCAACCTTTCCTAACGATCTCATTGTTAGAATATAGAATCGCTGTGGATGCTGGTTGTCCAAAGGAAATAAATACCTTGCTAACATCACATTCGTGTACAGTCGCCAGTACAACTTCACCCTCGGACCATGAGTTTACTTCTTTTAGTATTACCACTATCCAGCCGACTTACCTGGTATAATAAGACATACACAAACAAGTATTTTAGTCAATATAATTCATTTAGATTATTATCAACTTAAGCAAGCCTGACCACCGCAAGTAAGTGACATCTATGATTGGCAACTTTAAGTCATGGTTAGCCAGATCATCACGACGAATTTCCTCTATTTTTTTTAACTAACGTATTTATTAAGAAGAGATGAAAGGAAAAGAAATGTGAGATGGAGACATCTACCTGTTGATTGTTTTCTATACTTTTCTGATGAACGTTGTTTATTAATTAGTCGTTTTATGGTGAACTTATGTAAATGTAATTGTTAGCATTCTTTCGGTCCATTTATTTTTTGTATGTCTTCAAATAGTCATTTACTTAAACATCTGTAGCCCAGTTCTTTATCAACATATCTTTGTTATTTACTGACTAAGATTTCGTATTTATGGTACGCTCTGGTCTTGTATAATCAAGTGAATCATGACATTAAGTTTTAAATGTCATACGGACACATAGATGGTTGTAAGCAGCTGGTGAGAAATCACGAAACATGATGAATTCACATTATTCTGTTTCAATTATTATTCTGACTTTATTCAGATTCTTCAGTGTTCTGATGGAATGTTCGTTCAGAATCCAGGAGCCCATGTGCACCATTGGTTTGAAATCAGGGTTTTCCAACTCCCCAAGGTGGATGCTCCATATCCCGTAACCTAGGTAAAGCGCCGGACATTCACTTTTCATCCTCTCGATTTTGTAAACAACAGCCCTGCCACGGGAAGACAGTGCGTAGGAATTCCCTGACAGTCGCTGTATATGGGTAGCCATGTGAGATCATTTCGAGAGGGAGAGCGGACTCTACACACCATGGACCGTACCAAGGCGTTTGGGGGCATCTACGTTATTAGCAATAGTTTATGTCTAATAGTGATTTTCAAAAAAGCGAAGGTCGTACGGAACTATGAATTGGGATTAATGTTATCGCGATTGGGGTTACAAGAAAGAATATTTAGATTATTTTAGTAAGAACCCGATAATTCTAGGTCTTCCTAGCGATAAAATGTCAGCTATTGAAAAAATGAGAAAAAAACTTCATATTTCTCAATTAACATTTGCCTAATATAATGTGTATATTTTAATTCTTCAGTAGATATGAAATTCAAATTAGTAGCCAATTACAGGTTCGTGACAACATTGTGTAAACCGTAAGTATGATATTCATATTACCACGTAAGTATACAACTGAGGAAAGTTATATTGAATGGAACTACAAGAATCCTATCAAGTGCGTTTATGTAGTCAATGTGTTCAGTTATAGTTTGCGTCACGAAATGATCTTATTAAAACAACCAGTGAAAACCAGGAAGTACTCGACATATGCTTAATCCTAGTATGGAACTGCATGCCGATGCGCATTTGCTACTTCATCAAAGATCGAACGTCGAACCTAGCAGGAAATCATTAATTTTCGGAATTCTGAGCTGACATCTATTAGTTTACACGTCTAACTTCAATGATTTCACGAGTTTGTGTAATCATCATTTAATATACCATTAGTATATAACTGACTGATACACGAAGAGGTGAAACTTCACTTGTCACAGATTTTCGTTTAAACTTCAGGAAATACATCACAACTTACCGAGCATATTATTATAATTGGTATTAGAGGTTTATAATATAAACCTTAAAATTCTACAATCTTATTAAGACCTCTTATACTGATAGTTGTATATTTGTTTATTTGATTACGACTTTTGATTTCTTTGCTTTTATTTCTCTATTTTTAAGGCATATCAATGTTGGTCACGCTTATCAAGCAGAAATTCCTGATTTTTGTCAAGGTAAATAATACTTGAAGAAATTAAATGCTACGTAACTCAGTCCGATTGTCATTGGCTACATGAACTGATCTTATATTTTGTTTTGGTCACCGCCCTTCCTAGCTCACTCTTACACCAAACAAAATCGCGCGTTTCAATAGGCGGTGGTTGTCCCAAAATACAGAAACACTGCTTTGAAGACACATGTTATCGAAAACTAGTAACTTAATAATATCCTGTAGTCTTAATAGGCATGTTTCACACCCATAAAGCAGGACAGAGCGAACTGTTATGCAGTTAACTCGTCCTTTGGTTTGAAGACGGATATCTCGACTACGCCACAAGCGACTTAAGTTTGCCAAAACTAATCAAGCCTTCTGAATCTATGCCTAAGTTTCGTCAGGCAACAAACTACCAGGACTGATGAGACTCACGATGTGAATGAAGAGGTCGATAAATTCAATTACTTCATTCCCTATCTTTAGTTAAGGCGTTGACACAGGGCAATCCTGAAGTGACAAATCAACACTTGTAGGAAAAGAGTTGCTTAAGACTATCAGAAGTCTCTGCATTTCATCAGCAACTTCACCAAAAACGACTATATCATCTGCGCATTTTAAGTTAATAAGTTAATCTGCTGGTGAAATATTAACTCCTAAAAATTTATCTGATGAAAGTACTATCTGTAAAGGCATGTCTATAGCAAAGTTAAATAAAAATAGAGAAAGCGGAAAACCTGGATGAACACCACTTGAACTGATTAATTCTGATGACAGTTCACTATAAGCTCTGATCCGACCAGTAGCGTTCGAATAAAAGATCTGTACAAGGTTAATGCACTTCTTTGGTATGTCTTTCAATAACAGACACTTCCGCAAGACCTCATGAACAAAAGAGTCAAACCCTGCCTTAAGGTTAAGGAATGTAACTATTATCGTACGTCGAAAAGTATGACTATGTTCCAGAACCTATCAAATGGTGAATATTTGGTCTATATGTCCGCATCCAGGTCTGAAACTAGCCTGGTTTCCTCGGGTTTGCTCTTCATTCACTCTAGTTAGACGTTGAAATTTTATTAAGAGTAATATATTAGACGGTACTTTAGATAAACTAATTCCTCTTTGATTGTCACAATCGGATTTTGGCCCTTTCTTTTAAAATGGGATGATCAATGATGGGAAGTGGACAACATACGATGCGTTCGAACCGGAAACTTGATAACTGGAATGACTAAACATTATTTCCATAATTTTCACTGAATTGTTATAATGTATTATAGTACGTTCAGTCATTTTCATCATGAACATGTATCTTTTTTATTAAAAAAAAGAACATATTACTGAATCGAATTGTTAAATTTTGTTTTATTCTCTGCTCTTATGATTAACAAAAACATTAGAAATTTCATCAGATGAAACCAACAAAGAATCACCATCCAACTGGGAAATGTTACTCTGGTATCCAGCTTATCTTGATGAACATGATCCTAAGAATATAGAGTCATGTAAGTTCCTTTTCTTTTGTTTTCTGGCATCACTAACATACAATTAGTTATATGTTGAGTAGTGTCTCTTTTCTTCTTCAGAATTCAACTAATATTATCGATTAGTAACTATGTATAATTTCCCATTTTTCTCTTTTACCCCATATACTAAATCTCATTATTGTTCAATCTATTATTTTACTGTACTTGAGATCAAACTGATTAAGGCCTATAGTCTATGCATCTTTCACAGTAGAGAAGTAATAAAGTTTTAAAAGAAACAATCCACAAAAAACAACCATAATATCATTTAATCACTAGGCCCTACATAACCTTTTAAAATACATATACATTGGTACAAGGAGGCACCAAATAGATATGAACCACATAAATCATTCGATTTATGTGAGGGCTATGGTACTGCCTGGGTGCCAAGACCGAAGCAGGCGGTTTACTTACGAGGTCGTACCCGGAGCCTTCGACCTAAAGGTTTGATCCACAAGACAGTAGAGCAACGTCAGGAGATGCAGTGTCATGATACGCCATTTATTCCCTCAGGATAGTGGGGCCCATGTGTACCATTGATTTGGAATCAGAGTTTTCCAACTCCCCTAGGTGAACTGTCCGTGTCCACCAACCCGGTTAAGGCACCGGACATTCGCTTTTCACCATCTCAATTTCGTAAACAACAATAATACCACGAGTGATTGTGTTTGTATACACGTGGCCATTTTGGGAGCATTTGCAGAGGGAGAGCTGACTCTCCCCACTCCCGGCCGTACCAGGGCATTTGGGGGCACTACATAATAAAGATAACTTAATACCTTTAATGTTTGTTTGAACTAGTTTAAATAAATTCCCTTCCTTATTCAATAGCTAGAAATATTATTATTAGATTATTTAAGGTTGTAGTAAGCAAATCTCTTGTTCAGTGTTGAAGTATTACCACTAAATATTATGTGTAAAGAACAATTGATTTCGATTATCTCATGATCTTCTCATCTACATAAGTTCTATACAGAGTTTGTCAACAAATTATGATTATGATTATGGACATTTCCAGTTTTATTTATTTATTTGAACACATATATATTGATACAAGAGTGCGCCAAACATATATGCGCCACACAAATCTCATTCGATATATGTGAGGGCTGAGATACTGCATGGGTGCCCAAACCGAAGCAGGTGGTTATCTTAGGGGGCCACACCCCGAGCCTTCGACCTAAAGGTCTAACCCACAAGGCAATGGAGCATCGTAAGGAGATGCAGTCCCATGGCAGCCGGTGACCGAAAATCGGTTCATACGCCATTTGTTCCCGCAGGATACTGGTGCCCATGTGCACCATTGGTTTTGAATCCGGTTAAAGCGCCGGACATTCGCTTTTCGTCCTCTCATTTTCGTAAACAACAGTAATGCCACGAGAAGGCAGTGAGTAGGACTTCCCTGGCAGAGGCTGTATACGCGCGGCCGTGTGAGAGTATTTCGAGAGGGAGGGCGAACCCACCCCGCTCTCGGCCATACCAGGGCGTTTGGTAAAATAATGACATCAAATGGCATTGTTATTATATAATCGTATGTTATGAGTTGACTCCACAATTGCTACTCACAAAACTGAATTATTTACTATTATTAAAAGAAATCACTTATAGTCAACAGAATATAAAGTATAGACGATTGGGAAATTTCAATCTTATCATGGATCACTCATTTATCCTCAAAGAAATGAACATCTAGATCGTAAGTGATTAAAAATATTCATCAGAAAAAAACCTAGATCTCAGTTTAATTCTAATCGAAAATCGTTAACAAATTATATCTACAATCTTTATAGGATTGATATTTCCTAGCGAGATTCAAGCTTACATTGTCCAATTTCACAATCTAAGACGTTACTATTAAGCTATTTGGATCGTGATTGACATTTTATACGATCTGATATATTTATAACTGATTAATTAGTGTATAGAAGCCTATATCGTATTTGTTTATCAAATCACATTGTATCGTCGTTGCATCTGCATTACAACCTGTAGTAGTGTATCATTTATTTAGTCAATAACATATATATAGCCTTTGACCATTATATCAAAGTACTAGAATCTTGTAACATATCTATTGAATACATTCTTCTATTTTGTATTTTGTTTACATTTTGTTCTTCTTTCACCCCCCCCCAACTCACCATATTTTTGTTGTTACTACCACTGTTTGTTTGTTTTGTTTTTTTCCAAAAAAATTATTTTATTAGTAAATTTACTGACAAAAATTGCCTGTTCACCAGCTGTACGTAATTGTGGATTAAATATGGAATATACATTTCATTTATTATGTAAATATAAAGGTGATGTAGAAATGACATTACATGCTTTATTACGTGATACATTAGTTGTGTATGATTATGTTTATGCTGGTAAGTTCTTATTGTTATCTCTATTAAATGTGTGTGTGTGTGTTTTATTAATTATGTAATGGATTTGACTTGTATGTTCTCATTTCATAGATTATAGAGTTCATTATAATGAGTTTACTCCATTCTAGTAATAATAATGACCTGTTTAATTAATGATATAATAATGATTTATTTTGTATTGGTTATTTGAATCTTCTGGTTATTATTTAAGACTGTAAATGATCAATCTCTTATTGGTATATATGCATCCTGTATGAATTGCTTCGATATTGCCTTATGTCACATGCATTATAAACAGAAATGAACGATGGCGGGCGTTTCGTCCTATTTAGGACTGTTCAGCTGAATATACTTGCACCTCAGATTTGATGTTCAGTCTCGGACTCGAACTCAGTACCGTTCACTTCAAACCCCACCACATTATCCACATTAATGAATAATAATAACGACTGAGTATCTTAATGCGTATTGGTTCATGCCAATTTTTCTATTCCCCAATACTTTATTACAACATAAGAACTGTTAACCGGTTTGCCTATTATTATCATTATGACTTAAAAGATTACATGAATTAGACGGCCATAACCCACTTCAAACAGGAAATCACAATTTCTATACAAGTTGGTCGTACACTGTACAAAACTGAGTAATAGGGGTATAATTAAATGCGTGGGGGGGGGCAGGAGGAGGAGGAATATGAAAACACCATAAACTAAATACTCATAAATTACATAATAAAAATTCAAATAATAATTCTTCGTAGAATAGTCCTAGAAATTTCATCTTTCCTAATTCTTCGCTTCGATCTAACAGTTGTAACGTATGATAAAAGTAGGAAGAAGTGAAAATAAATATGATACCGTTGAACTGTATTATTCTTTAATCAATTGGTTTCGTAACTGGTTTGATGCATATTTACCAAACAGTTTAGTTCATGCTATTTATTTTTCATTTAACTTTAATTGTAAACTCTTTATTTGGATCACTGTTTTATGAACACCGGGTCTGTGTTTATACTCGTGAATACAAACTACTAACGAATAATCTAAATATTCCAGGCTGAAGCATATATTAAGTTGTCTTCGATTTTCAGTAGTTTCATTATATAATCTTTTATTTTCATACTATATAATATATCCTCCTGGTTTTATAGAAACTACGGCTTGGACAACTGAAGAGATTGTACGCTTTCAACAAGGTTTAGCTATGCATGGAAGAGATTTTCATCAAGTTTCAAAAGATTTACAAGCAGCTGGAATGAATAAAACAGTTAAAGCATGTGTAGAATTCTACTATGTATGGAAACGAATGAATACACCATCTGATGTTAAATGGTATGGTATTTAGATCATTATTATCATTACTATAATTAATATTTTTATGATCATTAGTAGTGTAACTATGGTTATTTTTCTATTTCTTTGTTTCTGTTCAATTTTTTCTTATCCAATACTACTTTTCCTCTTAATTCTTTCATGTACGATTGGACCTTTAAAGTCTGTTTCGGAGAGACCCTACTCACCGCCACCTTCAAGTGGTATATCATTTCCACAACTATATGAGAGAGTCAAAACAGAACATCTAATTGATAAACATATAGGATCAACCTAAGGGAGTTGGAAACCCTTGATAGAACGAACATCATACGAACGTATTACAACCATTGGTTACGTTAGAATCAAATTTACTGACGTCACTCTACTACTTTTATGACTCTACTGCCGTGGAACATGAATCTAAAATGTTATGAACAAACAATTCATTCCGCTTAATGGAACACAACTTCAATTTTCTTTAGATAAGATGTAACTAGAATAAACCGATCAGATAAGTAGTTATTCAAACAAAGACTATCACCACTGTATCATTAAACTTTATCCAATATTCTTGTGAAGCTATATGTCACCTTTAAAACATTCATTGGTTAAAAAATAACGCACACATTCCAAACCATCTCCTACTCCAGAGTACTATGTTATCTAGCTCAAAACTATGTCGAAAACCGGTCCATGTAACTATTTATTATCGAACTTATCTATGTTAAGATGTGCTTAGTGTCCGTACATTAATTCTAATGTAGTGTAGTGAGAAAACACTCAAATAGGAATAATCAATTTCTTTCTCATACAAAATTACAGAATCTCTTCATAAAATATGGACTGTGCCATGTTGGTAGGTGTAAACTACCTGGTTGGGATCCGCGAGACGATAACAACCGATGGTTAGAGACCCTGTATGACATGGCTCAAAATCGTTTGCAATAGCGCAGATACATCTACTCTTTGTGTTTTTTTCCGAATTCTAATCTTTTAGATTCTTCATGTCCCTTATTTTTTCTCTTCCCAAATTTATCTCACAGGATTATGCTATTTGAATAACATCTTTAAACCCTAATGTTTCTGATTACTGCTTATACTTTTATTACCTCTACCACTATGGGATTTGAATCGACAACTGCATTTCTGTGCTAATGTGGTATGACAACTCGAACTGATGTACGTACATACGAAGTTCTACGTTGTTACTGACTGACTGACTGTCTCTCAAAAACTTCAATTGTTCCTTCATTCCTGTTGTTATTGCAATTAATCTCTGTTTACGTTTTTGTTCTATTCTCAACCTTTTGCTGCTAGGCATTCCACTTCTGATTGGTGTTACTTACTACTTATATCGACAGACATAAGTAGCATACATCACAGTAGGACTAAAGATCCTAGATAACAAGACTATAACCAATCGCAATATCAGTGGTTCATTTATTATTTATAATTCGTTAAATCTTAAGTTTGAATGTGATTGCATACTTTATTCGTTTTATAATTTCATTCTATTCTTTAAATCTCCACGAAGCCATTGACTGTTGTTCTCAGTCCTATTAGTCAGTTCAGACTTCTTGGTTGAGACACCTACTATTATCGTAACCAACGGTTGAAGAGTTTAGTTGATCTAATTGAAAAATGATCACAATAGTACAGTTAAACTTATTCCCTTATCTTTAAATACTTTTACTACAACTACAGTTACAACGACCACTACGGATATGAATACTTTCACACTTTTCCTTTTCTGGTATCTGTCTTGATAATTACATCTGATTGTGATAAGATAATATAGCAACTTAAGGTGATGGATATATTCTCTATGTTCTACTTTGCTTATGATTAATTCTGTATACTTCGTTTTCCGATACCATTGATAATAATTATTTCAACTTCGTTTGTTCTATTTCCACCCCTCCTCTCATTGTACTAATCATAATATGAGTCCCCCCTTGGTCCTAAACTCATTTAAAACTACTTCTAACCGACGGGTTGAAAGATCGATGTTTTATAATAATCCGAATATGGGATTATGTTTTCCTAAAAACAAATTTGCACTAATTCACAAAATATTTTGCCATTTTAGTAGTAGCATAATAGTTTTATTCAGATACACCAATTGAATGGAATAACCGAGTACTATTTTAGAAAAAGCATTAGTGATTCTTCTTCCAAATACTTTCTATCGACCCTTAAATTGTGAGATTGAAATCGCTTCATATCTTTCTTACTACAAAATCTCTCTTTTATATATATTACCACCATTGAAGTGATTACTTGTATGAATTCGGTGTTCATATTGTTGTGCTAATGAGGTGTGGCGACTTGTGCCGATGCATACATGTGGCTGGTCCTACATTGTAGCTGACTGATTGAATACACAAATATATATACAGCCAGATAAAAATCACCTCTCAATCATCAACTTTTGGTTGTCCTAACAAACTAACGTGTTTATATGTGTGATGTAAAGATCATTTCTGTTAGGAAAAATCTATAGTTGATTTGAAGGGGGTTTTTTTTTACAAAATTTCACTTCATTTATAAATACTATTGATTACGGATTAACTGCATTGTGTCCATCATGATGAAAACCAGGAATCATCAGACGTTTGTTTAATCGTAATATAAGTTTGAACTGTTGATGAGTAGTCCTTATTACTATGCGACATCTGTCCTGTGCTCTCGAGTTTACAAGATTACTTTATATGTGAAGTAGTTTAGAAAATTCCTGAAAAGCTGAGAATTTCCAAGGGTATTTTTTCTAGCTAATTGCAGTTTTAAGAAAATCTTTAGAAGACATAACCTATCACATTCTTCCTTAGTTTGATTAATGAAATGCTGGAATCATTGTAGATATTAATATCTTTTTGAATATTCTATGAAACCCTAACATCACTAATAATCATAAAGATTGTCTTTATTTCCTGAAAGTATAGCGTTTTTTTTTCTTCATATTTCCGTCCTCTGTTTTCGTCAGGCACATAAGAAAGTACACACTCTGAGGAGTGAGGTGGTGGTGGTGGTGGTGGTGGCTAGAAATCAGTTAGTGATAATCAATATAGAATGTGATACATGTTTATTGGTTCCACACTGCACTCATCAGTACATTTGTTATACTCTCTATCTGTTTTTCTAATATTCAAGACATGTTGAAGTCAAATAAAAGAGAAATAAATTTTCAAAAAGGGTATAACGTTTATGTTTAGTATCTTCATTTTATTACGTGTAAACATTCAATATGGTTTATAGTTTACTTCAATTTGTTGATAAATAATTCATTTCTTTAGTCGAAACGTTTATCTTGTACCGATCGAAATTGTGTCTAATATCTTGTTTTACATATTTAATTTGATTGTGATACTGTATTGAATGAAATGGTTAGAACTTATGTTACATATACTCAACCACTCATTCATCAATGCCCAATACTGTCTAATGTAGGAATAGTTTTGATAATTACTAGTAATGGTTAAAGCAAGAAGTGATATCCGTTTGTGGTTTGAGTCATATTGGGTAGATACGAACTAAATGAATTGATGGTTGCACCATTACATCACTTGGACTAATGCACATATATGATGGGATCTATGTTACTTACTGACTGGTGGTTTATCTAACACATAACATGAAGCAGATTGCCAACAGTGTATTCAATAATTACTCAAACAATCTTATAAATAGATCATGTCTATGGAATAAAACTATAAAACTTAAAAGTTGTTACCAGGTAGTAGAAGGAATGTAAGTATTAATCAAGCACATATTCATAGTTTACATCAGATGCTATTTGGTCTTATTACCGAATCCTTTAGCTATATGCATCCATGACTTCACTGAGAACTTTCAGGCCTTACAACATTCACTTAACATTTAGACCACTGAGTCGACAAACATTGGTTTACATGTTCAATCTGAATCAACCACATCTTTGGAATCAACTCCGTCTTCCACTTGTTATTTATTTTTTTTTCAAAACATTATAATTTGTATTTGCCTAACCGAACATACTTTAATTTCTACCATTGCTTAATATGAAAAGATCATGAAGTAACAATAACATAAGAAAATTAGTAAAATTTAGTAAATACATGTGCGAATATGCATTTACATTTATATAATTATTTCATTAGTCAGTCAGTCAGCTACAACGTCGGACCAGCCATATATATGCATCGGCACAAGTCGCCACACCTCATTATCATAACAACATGAACACCGAATTCATACAAGTAATCACTTCAATGGTGGTAATATATATAAAAGAGAGATTTTGTATAAGGATATAGTACAAGAAGTAAAAATTAGCTCGTAGTAAGAAAGATATGAAGCGATTTCAATCTCATAGTTTAAAGGAAGACAGAGAATCTATACACCTACACCTTTGTGATCGGTTCTGAGCCATTTCATCCAAAGTCTCCAACCAGTGATTACGATAGTGACGCGGACCTCAAACAAGTAGTCTGCATCTACCATCCACATGGCTCAGACTAGAATTTAGCGACTTCAAGCACTGATGTCATGTTGTGGTTTGGCCACGCCTAACATTCTTCCAACCATCCTCAACACTAGTCAACATTGCGCGTCGTGGTAATCGGTGTTGAGGCATACGTACCACGTGGTCTAAACATCTCAGTTAATGAAGATTCACAACCTCATCAACTGATTGACCATCATTCCTTAATACCCTGCCTAATCAGTTCATTAGATAGTTTTTCAATATAAAGAATACCGTATTATCATCGGACACCGTTACCTATCAACCCAACAGAAAAATGTATCTGGTTTTCTCTTCTTTTCTTTTCTTTTCATTACATATGCATAGTAAGACAGTATGAAAAGGTGAACTAGTTGTGATATTGAATTTAAAAGTGATGAAAAGAATGTTTCTAATTTAATGAGAAGAAAAAAACACACTTTTTTTTTCCGTACTATCCATTATCACGTTTAAACTGGTTACAAATAGTTGTATATCCCTGATCTACCTTAATTTAGATATGGATCAGAAATACATTTGGTTTGTTCTATATTCATATGAATACATCTTCACTTGTCTACATGTGTATATGATGGTGTGTGTGTGTGTGTGTGTTTGTGTTTTGTATAAACATGTTTATTTTACAGGTTTCTCTTTTTTTTTAACGTGTAAATAGCTTTGTGTATACGGAGTGATTGACTTCAATACATTTTTTTTTATTCTCATACACTGATCAGTCATTAAGCAGATAGTTAAATAGGTATCCATACCAAGGTTAGAACTTGATAGTTTCAAATAAGTTGAGCATTGGGTAGAGAGTTAATAATAATTATGTATATATATGTACATTTTTAATGGTTGAGATGAGTCAATTGAAACTAGAACATCATGGAAAACCTGGAAGCACTAGACGACCATTTCTTCCTGCTGTGGGACTCCTTAACAATGCGCATCCATGATCCCGCATCGTGAGATTCGAACCCAGGACATATCTATCTCTCACATGAATGCTTAACCTCTAAACCACTGAGCCGGCTGTCATCCAACGGTGTTAATGTCTTACTCCAACTAATCCATGAAATTGAGCGACACATCCACCATTGTCTACAGTGAGTTACTATCTCACAATAGACCCAGTTGAACTCCACTGGTTACTGCTTCTTATTAGAACTCCAGGAAATACCTCTTGAAACTTGAATCTCTTCCAAACATATAACACTTGTTTACACTTCTCGTATTTAATTTACCATGTCAGGGAAATTCTTATTCAGATTTATTTTACTTAATTCTACTGTAAAAGTGATTAGTTACGCATGAGTGAATACATAAATCCTAATTGTTTAATTGTATTTTCCTTTCTATTTTTATTTCAAGGTATAGAGAAAGAGCACGACGTCAACGTCCACTTGCTCGTATGGAACCGATAATCACAGAAGAACCATTATCGGAACAATTTGAAGCTATTGAACAATGTAATACATATACAACAGATATGAATTCAATACAAACATTAGATAATAATATTATCAATAATAATAATAATAATTCAGTTAATGTGCCTTATAATTTACGTCGTAAACAACAACAAACAACAATATCAGTTCAACCACCACCATCATCATTATCAACAAACTTGAAATCAGATTATCAATTGACTACTAAAGTGAATACCAACGATATTGTTGTGAATAATGATAACAGTAATTCCTTGGAAAATTCCTATGATGATTTTATGGATATTGTTTTCAATGAAGTAAGTAGGATAAGATTTCCATTGTCATTATCGTTATGATTACTACTACTACTACTACTACTACTACTACTACTACTACTACTACTACTACTACTACTAATGAATAGAAGTTATTATTTATCTCTATCAAACTTACATATTCAGTGTTCGAAATAATTTACTTTCTGATTGTCTAGTAAGTCTGCAATGTAAAACAAAGCTAGTGTATTGTCAGCGATTCTCTGACTGATAATAGTTAGCGGATGAACGCTTACCTTTGATAAAAGAACACTGTAGGTCTGATAACTTATTGGCCGGAAACTTTGGACCTAGATTTCTTGCTATTTCACACTCACCAACAAGGTGTTATTTATCCACATGCTGGGATTGCTTGAAATCTGCTGCAATAATTTGAAATTCCCATATTTTAAATTAGATCAAAATATATTACTTACGTCTGTTACTTATGGTGGATCATAGATCACAGACCAGAATTAGCCAACCGACTCTGTTCCGGGTTCTTCTTTCCAGTTGTATCTAAGTTCTATTCATTTCTTTGATGTCTGTTTTCAATTGTTGGCGCAATTATTTCTTCGGTTTGCCTCTTTTGCTTTTGCCTTTAGGGATTCTAAGTTAGGGTTTGACTCGTGATGCAGTTTGATGATTTCAATTAGATATTAATCAAGCTTTACTGTAATATATCAACTAAAGAAGTTTGTGAGTTGATGATAAAAATGAAACAGATTGCATAACTGAATATAAATTGATAATGAGATAACAGTTAAACTATTCGCCATAAGAATTCTAATGGCTGAAATCAATGTTTCAATATAGGAAGTAGATCCAAACTTGGAAAAAAATAAACAGCAAGATATATATGTATATATGTATACGGGGGATAACTTGTTAAAAACCCTGTTCCTTTAAACTACAATTCAATAGAGATGTAGCTAGCGTTGTTCTTCATAGTAAAACTAATGAGAATTGTTAAAAGAACGCTGTACACAGCTAATTTTACGTTGTCATTTTCTAGTCCACGGATATTATCTATCCAAATAAAGGATACTTCACATGCGCTTACCTCTTCAGTGTGTATCTATAAATTCAGATGCTCCTATAGAGAGATAGCTGTATATTCGGTTTACAACCAATCAAATTAACCAACCTATGTATAAATATCTCTCTGTTTGTGAAAGAGTTTAACAAAAACAATACTTAGCTTTATTTGACCACACTTGATTAACACAGATCATGTAGTCAAATCATTTCAAGTGATCTGTCGTATTTATTCGTCGTTTCCCATAAGAATTCAATCTCATCTCTTACATATACCCTACAACGATTCGAATCTATAACCCTAACTTATGTATTCAGAAGAGATGTATAACATTCTTTCTATTCTTTGACTATATAATCGTTAACATACAACTTGGCTTATCATCATTATTGATTACTTTCTCTTGCCTTCATTACCCTAATCACTACGTGAACACATCTTATTACGCAATTTTGACAATGTTTCAATAATGCTTATTTTCTAATGTCTAATTTTTTTTTTCAAGTTTTGACCTACTTCCTACGGTGTATTATTGATTTTAGACTTTAGTATTTGTTCTTATTATTTCATAATTCACCTTTCATTTCACTTGTTACTTATTCTAATTACTTGTGTTATGTGCTATGTCATTGTTTATTGTCTAATTGCAAACTTCCATGATTGATTAACTAATCTTCATATCAATATTCCTACATATTAAACTAAAGTTTGATGAAGAGATATGGCGAGACTATAATTTATAGATGAAACAATCAGGTCTTGGAATTTGGGCGCGAAATTCACTCATTCATTTGGTTAAATAGAGATTTGGCATTTTAGCTGATGGTCAGTTCATGATGAAAACCTTGGATGTAATTCCTAACTGTAAATCATAATCCAAATTCCTCATTCTAATTTATAACCCTCATTTGGTCCTAGTTATTAGGTGGACATTTTCAAGGTTAGTCTATTGTCGCTCAAAGATCGTCCATAAATTATAGTCTCGCCAAAGATATTATCTTATGTTTTTTTCCTAATCTACTGATTGAACTGATGTTTCAAAATACTACTGAATAGCGATTAAGTAGTTCAATAATACCAGTTAAATAGTTCTGTTGCAGTGTTATTCGAGAGGAAGTAGTGGATCCTTCAGTTATACGAATAACAAATTACAAGATGTACTGTATATCAGAAAGCAGTATACAAATGTTAATCAAATGGAAATATCCTCATTTATAATAAATGAAACTTTGAAGAGTAGGACACAAATATAAAACATGATCATGAAAGGGAAAATAATAAACTTATATTTTGAAATAAAATAACTGGTTAAATTCACTTGGTATTGTTTACTTGGATCTTCCCATTGATTTTTAGGACTTCAATTGGTCAGTCTCTTATTAAAATATGTGCATACTGTGCGTATTGGCTCGGTATCGCCTTAATTCACAAGCATTCTAAGCAAAGATGGATGGTGGCTAGCAGCAGTAGAATCCAAGGATGCATTTTTCGTCCTATTTAGGACTGTTCAGCTGAATTTACCTGCATCCCAGTGCAGACATTAACTCTGGAATGCAGGTTAATTTAGCTGGCGAGTCACAAGTAGGATTCCACTACTCGGTATTACCCATCTTTGCTTAAAATAGTTGGTTGCAACATGATGAGTCGTTTTTTTAGATCGGAATAGTTGATAGAGACTATGGTCATGGTGTTGTAAGGGCTTGTGGAATTTCGTCTTAATCAACGGTCAATTATTATTGTGTATATTCTTTGCAAATAATTAATTTTTATAGTTGCTCCATTTTGGTGATTGAAACTGAGGTTTTTGTACTTGCTTTGACATATTTACGTAGTTACTTCGAGGAGGAAATACGTTCATGGGTATGAGCCCGCTTCAAATTTTCAATGGAATTATTTCTGACAAATTCATTTTAATTGTGTTATATCTCATATATTCAGTGTTTCTTTTATCATGTGAATGTTCGACCCTGAAGTATTGTTAAGGACCACAATGAATAAAGTTGTTTCGACACATATCTTCGTCAAAGAAAACTATCTCTTTGAATAAATCTTTATCTTTACTCTTTTTCATGTGAAAAGGAGTGAAGGACTAAAGTTTTACGGCGAGACTATAATTTATGAATGAATCCCTTGAGTTTTCGCGCAAAATTTATTGGTTAGATGCACAAATGGATCCAACTATGTTCTACAGATAGTCAGCCAAAAACAACTTGAAAATAAAAACCGAAGAATTTCGAGTCTTCTAGAAGATTCCAACCATCATTTTTTATATCACCAAAAGTTTAAAGCATTTCGTTGTACTTTATACTATAGTTGTCGGAACAAGAATAAGTAATGTCACTTATCCATTATGACTTTATCTAATCATCTTCATATCTACCTCTTAAGTTTTTTTTCGGGGGGGGGGAGATCTAACACTGACGTAAATTTTGATCGATTTTACGAACAACAAATAATTCAATCATTTCTAGTTTTTTATGCTTAACAATTCTGAATGTTTTATCTGTGTATCTCATTTGGTTACTTTTGGCGAATATCTACAGCCTACTTCAATTGACACTACTCTACACACTCAGATTTGGATAGGTTTGTTGAAATGTCACACGGACTATAGAAGACTTAGTAAGTGTGAGACATCACAGAGAAATCATATAAGTTGTCAATTACTTTTCGTTAAAAGATATTTGTAACTAGGGCTGAAGGTGTCGCATTCTCTGAAAAGTATTTCCTGATAGTGTTGTCTAAAAGGACAATGAAAACTTTACAATCAAACCATCCAGCTTAGAGAAAACGTTTTTATAAATTCGGTAATCACCATCAAAGAATATCGATTGATTGTATCCTTTTAGACGACAATATTTTACACCAAAACGTAAATTGATAATCATGTCTGCTACTAAAGAATACCAGGATGAATCAACGATTGAAATATGTCTAGCAGTCAATCAGCTTTTAACTGGTTCAATTGTTTTATGAGAATAAAATCACTTAATAATAATAATAATTAGTTCATTGTTTTCACATTCATGAGACTTATTTTTTCTAATATTTACTTAATTTGAACAGTCTTTCCCCATTTATTAGACTACATCAATTGGATCGTTACCGAAGTATAATACTACTACGACTTCTGTTGTAATGACTACAACATCTAATGATGTCATCTCTTCACATTCTGTATTTACATCTTCATCTAACTCGTCCTTATCATCATCATCATCATCATCAAGCCAAACATCAGCTAATACTGTCGTTGTCCTCTCTACGAGTTGCTTATCTACTGTCACCACCACCACCACTACCACTACTACTACGTTCACTTCCACTGTATCATCAACATTTACTTCTACATCGTTGAGTGATATAAAACATTCAATTTATACATGTCATATATGCAATAAAGCTTTCAATAAAATCAAATCACGTAATGCTCATATGAAAACTCACAGTGATAAAATTATCACCAATAATAAGTCACGTCGTCAATACATTTAATCAATTTTATTTATACTACTCTTTTGGATATCAGTAGTTAAAAGAAAAAAAATAAAGGAAATTTATTTCAGTGTGATATATTTGTGATACATTTTAAGAGGAACGTATTTCTATCAGAATCCTTTTTTGTTTCTTTTTTTAATCAAACGACAATAACCTATCTGAATTATATTCCTATCCTGTGAAGTTTTTTTTTCTTTGAAAAAACAATCGTTTCTATTGTTTATCATTTGTCGTTACTGTTTTCTAATTATTTCCGTCCTATTGTTTCATATTCTCATTTTTATTAGAAAATCATTAGATTGATAGAAGTCAATAGTTGATGAGGGGGGAGATTGTTTTTGTATGGTTTTCTGTACACTCCATAGACTGATCTTTTTTTGTTTCGGTACATATTCTCTTTACAACATAATTTGTTTGTACTTGATATAAATCCTACTGTCACTCTTTTCTTTGTATGCCTAGATTGAACAGATTGTAAAGTAAATAAATGAAGCTATTTTTTTTCTCATTTTTATTTGCTTATCAACATAGTGAATAATACCAACATCATTATCTTTATACTTAATATTAGAAATATATATCCATTTTCTGTATTATTCAACACTAACTTTTGAACTATTATAAGTAGTATAATTAGTTACTATCAAAAACTTTATCATTCATTTTGATTATATTTTCTTGTCATCATCTTGAATATTGATCATATTCATTAGATTCATTATCGTTTACATCGCATTGTACTTTTCATTTCTAATTGATGAAATGTTATCGCTTCGTAATCTGCCTAAATTTTTTTTTTGTTGTCGTTGTAGTTGTTGTTAAGGGAAATAACTAATATTCCTTAGATTTTTTGTCTCGTTGTTTTAAACAGATATTCAAATAAGAAATAAAAAGCGCCTATTTTGTTTTTAGAAGATGAAATAATAATAATAATAATCTTTTAACTACTTTGCTTGTCTATTGTACGTGTGTGTGTGTGTATGTGTGTGCGAGCACATATGTGAACCCTTAAGCACTTTGGTTTCGTTTTTGTATTTATTTATGTAATAACTTTTCTTTTTTTTAAAACTTTTATTCCCGCTTTTTGGTATCAGTTTAAACAAATGTATGTTGTGTATAGGTTATATCCTTTTTTTTTCTAAACAAAATAATATTCAATGACTTATGCATACGACAGTGAATGACGACGACGACGACGACGATATGTGCCACCTAATCATCATATACAGATATACTGATCAGTGAATAACCGGTTTAAAAATGTTTGTTTCATAGATTCTTCTCTCTTTTTTTTGAATATTGACCAGAAACCGTAAATAGATAAGTTTTATTGAAATTTTACTTATTCTATATCATTATTAGATTCATTAAACACTTATTACATTACAGATAGTCTCTATGTTGACATGGCAATATACCCCAATGATCATTTGTATATTTTAACTTTTCTTTATAAAAGAAGAAACAATATTGTTGTATTTAAAGCATGAATTTTGATTATGGAATGAATAAATGAACAAGAATTATCGTTCATATAAATAATAATCCTGTTGCCAGGTTGCTCTTATACACCGGTATCAGATGTAATAATTTACAGTGTTGTTTCTTTCAATCTAACTAATCAATGTATAAGATTTATTTGTATATTCATTTTATTCTAGATAATAATAATCATAATCATAATAATACAAACGTGTATTGGTTTCCATGAAATGTCCATTTTAAAAACAGCAAACAATTTTACTTTCTGTGTGTTTATTTCTTGTCATTATTGTTTATATTCTTTTCAAGTCAACAGATTTATTTGTCCAATGTTCAAAAAAGAGGCAGTAAATGATCAATTCTATCATATACATAACTTTTCATTATTGCCTTCTTATTGTGCGCCATGTTTTTCTGTCACTCATACTGTGTGTGTGTGTGTGTGTCCAGAAGAGCCTGTGTCCTTGCCCACTCCCTCCCTTGTGTGTGAGTTTCAAGTCTTTTCACTGCATTGTTACCGTTATTTGTTTGTTTTTTTTTTCGCTAGAAAACAACAGGTTGCCAGTTTCTATGGATATCATTCATTAATTAATCGTTTGTTTGTTTTTTTTCTCCTTCCCTACTTGCATCATTCAATTTACTTGCCTTATCATTATCATATTTTTGTGTTGACATTTTTTTCTTGAGATTCATTGTTACTATTGCTATTGTTGTTAACAATAAAAGTCAATATTATGTATTTACTGATATTTTTATCATATTTTCTGAAACAAAAATTCAACAGAACAATGAAGAAACGCAGTAGTGGTTTTCTTAACTTCAACCACTAGATAAAATCCAGTCACGTGGTCCGTTTTTTTCGCAATTGCAATTAGGCTACTCATAAGTAGCTGATATTTTTATGCAAAATAAACAATTGGACAGTGGCTAGCAGAGGAAAAGTCCACTGAGCCTATTCCTCTGCTAGCCGCTGTCCAACTGTTGGATGGAGAATGCTGGTGAGCGATCTATGCTCCTTCACGAGGAGTAACAGGTGTAAGTAAGTAGCAGAGGAATCCAAGACGCGCGTTTCGTCCTATTTGGGACTCGTCAGCTGCATGTACCTTCATCTCCGAGTTGGTGTTCACTCTGCGACTCAAACCCAGTATCGTTCGCTTCGAACGCCATCACGCTATCCACTCAATCCTGATAGCCACTTGCTTGTGCAATGGAGTGAGGTTAAAAATTTACTTCGTATTGTTTGCTTGAATCTTCCCATTGATGTTTAAAACAAAACGCGCTTCCTGAATTCCACTGCTATCTACTATCCTTCTTTGCTTATAGTGCTTGTGAATTAAGACAATATCGAGGCAATACGCACAGTATGCACATATGCCAATAGAGACTGATCAATCGCAGTTCTAAATATCAATGGAAAGATTCAAGTAAATAATACCAAGTGAATTTAAAATGAAAAGCGTATGAATAAACATAGTCAGGATCGATATGTATTTATATATTGGGAAGTAATAATGCACAGATTATGTAAAGGTAGTGAAACTAATAAATGGTTGAGTAATTGCCCAGAATGATAAAATAAATAAGCATGCGAACATCACAAAGGTTATATAAGAGATGAATATGAGCAGGAGGAAGAAAAATAAAATGTTGGGGACAGGGTTGAAAAAATGAATAGAATTAAACAAGGGTTATTAGACAAATATCTAATCACCATGGCAAGGGAAAGCTGATGAAACTTTCCTTCTGTATACATAGATCAGTTTGTGAACGTCTGATAGCAATCGCCTCTGTGAAATAGAGTAAGATTGATATTCCGAATGCATCACTTACATTTATTTCATGTCCACCATCCCAAAAATGTCTGGCAATTGCGCTTTTAAAGGCTTTACTGTCGTTTAACTGTAGTTTCCTAGGTATGTGTTCAGAAAACTTAGTAGAGGCTTTTCTCTCTATCTACTTGGCATCATAGATATACGTAAATTCATAAATACGATTGGAGATGACATTGGAAGAGTATTGATCTGTCTTTGAATGGTATAATGAACGTTCGTTGTTATACAATGAAACCAGTTAAACAGCAAGGAAGCTTTCTTCACTGCCGTCTTGACTCTTCCTGAAACCTCATCCCTCTTGAGCAGAAGGCGGATGAAGACAGATTTCTTTTCAACAGTTGGTTATTCACCATCTTTGGGATATTTTTTCATATCTCGTAAAAAATCCATTCAAGTATCCGTTTTTTATGAAGTGGTTTTCCAGAATAGCCAGTTCCTCACTTATTTTCCCTTTTGAGGATAACGTCCTAGCTCTATTGAAGAACGTTTTGACTATACCCCTCTTGTAGCTGATAAAACAAAAGCTGCTTAAGTTCAAATAATGTCACAAGTAAATAATGAACACATAACAAAAGATACCTGATACATTCAATTGCTCTTTTTTTGAAAACTGAAATGCGCCTTTAAAACTATTTGCCGACAGTTTTTCTAAGAATTAGTTTTAATAATTCAGCTTACAACTGAACCAACTTAGAAGATGAGTTCACCATAGAAATTATAGATCTTAACAGAAAGTTGTATTTATGAACTTTAAAAAAGCAGTCATGATCTTTTTGCCTTCAGATTATTGTAAGTTAAATGATCAATTAGCTCTTTCAAAAATTTCTGACGATGTTTATTGATCTTGTTCTCAATTGTTGCAATGGAATGCTAAATATTTATTTGTGATTATATCAATAATTTTAGGTTGTATGCAACTGATCTTAGTTAGATAACTACTGGGGGGGGGGTGGAAATCCTTGAAAATCTTTGTTTTTCTAATGTAGAATTCCTCAATAGTGTAAAGCTACCCGAGATCGAACCCAGAACTCTTATTCTTCGGTCCGAACAGGTTAAACTTTGATTTTGACTACTGCCTTTCAACTCTATTTTAATAGAAAAGGGTATAGTGAACAAGAACACAAGTGAGGACAATCAAATGTATATAGACACAAAATTATAGAACATCTTAGTAAAATCTGAGAACCACCATACAGTAAATACTTCGTTTGCACAATGTCAATCAATTGTCTCACACTTCATTGTTCTTTCGTTTCCATATCAATCATTTTTTGTTCTCATTCTCTTTTATTTGATCTTCTTAACTTTCTGTCACCTCCAGGCATTTCACTTTCGATTGATGATGAATACATACTGTTATGAATTTATGTCCGGATTTTTATCACGTGATTTATCCACCAATCAAAATACGACTTATACAATCTTAGCACTGTGCCAAACCAATGACGTTCGACCGGTATGAGCAGCCTTTATTTATTTTAACACATAGATATTGGTACAAGGCGGCACCAAATACATATGCGCCGCACAAATCTTATTCGATATGTGTGAGGGCTGAGATACTGCCCGGGTGCCCAAACCGAAGCAGGTGGTTTTCTTAGGGGGCCACTCCCCGAGCCTTCGACCTGAAGGTCTGATCCACAAGGCAGTGGAGCATCGTAAGGAGATGCAGTCCCATGGAAGCCGGTGACCAACAATTGGTCCATACGCCATTTGTTCCCGCAGGATACTGGAGACCATGTGCACCATTGGTTTGGAATCCGGTTAAAGCGCCGGACATTTGCTTTTCGTCCTCTCAATTTCGTAAACAACAATAATGCCACGAGAAGGCAGTGAGTAGGACTTCCCTGGCAGAGGCTATATATGCGTGGCCATGTGAGAGCATTTCGAGAGGGAGAGCGGACTCTCCCCACTCTCGGCCGTACCAGGGCATTTGGGGCCTAGCGTCCTTATTGGTCCTATGTCCCCCTAGTCCGTCCACTTAAGTTCAGAATCCTAATACCAGCTTACACTATGCGAATCGAATCATTTATTTCAGACATACTGGGTTTAATATATCAACCAAACAGACCGCAACGTACCATAAAATAGGAAATAACATTCATACACAATAAAGCCAAAAAGTGGCTGTGAACATGGGAGGCCGTAGTCAATAAACTGAACATAGCTGAAGAACCGTAAATCGTACAATAATAACATATAGGTCAAAATGAAGCTTATAACAAGGGGAATATAGATATACATAATCTAATTACTGAGTAGTTATACCATAAGAATATATATAGATAATATTAGCCAATTAATTTGGCTCAGAAGTTACTCGTGATTTAAACTTCGCTCGGATATAACATATACTACTACTTATATCTGTCGATATCAGTACCACACACTACAAAGTTACAGTAACATGAATATAAACCCAAACAAAAAATGAATGAAAATACAAAGTTAAGATTTTCATTTACTGTTCTTATTCATACAAAGTAAGTTTGATATTACACATCTGTTATGTAAAAATGGTACCGTTTTTATCATCTGTTGGATATCATCATCATCATCATCATCATATGTATGAAATATAATAATATTGGTAGTTAAACGTGAAATTAATGCATCCACCTCTTCATTACCCAAGTATTTATTCCATAAAGACCGTAAAAACTGATTAACTTGATGTTCAAATTGACCAGCTGTTTGACAACCAGGTAAAATATGTTCTGATTTTTTTGTACAATTCAATGATTCACTTGAATGGGAAAAAAGGATAATTAAACAACAACAACAACAGCAAGTGTATAGTTGAAAGGGGTTTAATCGAAATTGATCTATTGTGTAGTTTGTATTGATCACAGATTAATCTCAATTAGAATACTTTAGCACTAGTTTTAGATTACTCAGTAATGCCCATTCATAACCTCATCATCACAGAGTCGCATTTAAGACCTTTAGGTTTCATGAAGAATGCTTAACCATTACAACCGTTAAGTCGACATTCAATGGTACAACTGAAAACTTCAATTAATTTGTGAAGTAGTGTGACAATCATTGAATATCATTGTCGATAAGCATTTCAGTCACATATCTAAAGTCAACCAGTTACAATTTCTCACTTCAAAATATTTTCGAATTTCGAGCAAGAATTCGTAGGGTGACGAAACCGAAACAGGTGGTTTTCTTATGTGGTCACACCTGGAGCCTCCGACCATGCGAATTAAATGAGTCAAAACAGTAATATCATATGTGATAGAAGAACGAATAAAAGACATGAGATAACGGTAAATGAATATAGCAAATGATTTCAAGTTATATAACTTAAGATAATTGTAGTTAGTATTACCGACAGACTGGAAAGAAGGACTTTTGGTCAAAATACCAAACAAAGGCGATCTCAGCAACTGTGATAACTACAGGGGCATCACTCTTCTATCAATACCAGGAAAAGTCTTCAACAGGGTATTGTTAAACAGAATGAAGGACTCCGTAGACGCCCAACTTGGAGACCAACAGGCTGTATTCCATAATGATCGATCGTGTACAGACCAAATCGCAACAATATGGATCATTGTGGAACAATCAATTGAATGGAATTCATCACTCTACATCAACTTCATTGACTACGAAAAAGCATTTGATAGCGTGGACAGGACAACACTATGAAAGCTTCTTCGACACTACGGCGTACCTGAGAAAATAGTAAATATCATACGGAATTCTTATGGTTGATCAAACTGGAAAATCGTGCATGGAGGACAATTGACAGACTCGTTCGAAGTAAAGATGGGTGTGAAGCAAGGTTGCTTACTCTCACCCTTTGTCTTTCTCCTGGTGATCGACTGGATCATGAAGACGTCAACATCTGAGGGAAAGCATGGGATACAGTGAACATTTAGGAAGCAGCTAGACGATCTAGACTTCGCAGATGATCTGGCTCTTCTATCACACACAGGAACAAGTGAAGGGGAAGACGACCAATGTAGCAGCAGCAGCAGCCTCAGCATCAGTAGGTCTCAACATACACTATTACTTAGCTGGTGATCCCAGTAGATGCGAGCTATATTTCTAAGAAGTCTGTGATAAAATAGTAGTAGCACACGAGTATTTTCTACCCCTAATGGCCATGTTTCGCAGCTGTAAAGTAGAACAGAACGAACTGCTGCACAGTATACTAGTCGCTTAATTGATAGGTAGATATCCCGCCTCCGCCATAGGTGACGTAAGTTGGCAAAAGCCAAACGAACTTTCTGAATCGGTGTAGAGATTTCGTCAGACACCAACCCATTAGGGCTAATCAGGCTTCCAGACTTCTCAACAATTACAACATATAACATGTTGAAAAGTGAATAGATTTTGATCCATCTTAATTATAACATTCAATGATAGCTACTGATTGAATAAATCTCAACATTGATACAAATAATTGGCTCTGTTTTTTCAAACATCAGCCATGAGGTTCATCCAATGGGAGAATAAATATAAATCCAATATTTCCTTAAACCGGCTAACAACACGGTGTTAATGTCTAACTTCAACCAGTCTACGAAATTACGCGACCATCTTCCATTGTCTGAGGTAGATATCTGTTTCTACCTGACACGGATTAACTCTACTGGATGCTCACTGTTAAAGAGTCCCATACTATGAATAAATATAATTGATCAATATGATAATTATTACTAACCTTTTGTTTATTTAAAGAGTCCAATTGGTGAGCTTTTATAATTGAACATGAATTTTTAGAATTTGACAAATATAAATGATTAACTAATTGACCAAGACGTGTAATAAAACAATGAAATGATCCATTTTCATTGTGATTAAATGTAGAATGATGTTGTTTAGATTGATCATTGACCATTGAATGTATACAACGATTAACAATGAGAAGTACTACAGGAGAAATCCTTTCATTAGTAGTTTGCCTTTGATGATTTGTATATCTACAATTAATAAACAGTAAACTTGCTTGCCAAATTTAGTTGAACATGTACAAGTTTCAAGCATTATTTTAAAGGTGTTGTAAAGTAGGTAAACAATTCTCTCCCAGATGCCCTGGTATGGTCGAGAGTGGGAAGAACTCGTTCTCCCTCTCCAAATGCTCTCACATAGCCACGTGCATACACCCAATGCCAGAGAAGTTCTACTCACCATCTTCTCGCGGCATTACTGTTGTTTACGCAATTGAGAGCAAGAAAAGCGAATATTCGGCGCTTTAATCGGGTTGGTTGGTATGGACTATCTATATAAGGGAGTTGGAAAACCCTGATTCTAAACCAGCGGTGCACATACGCTCCTAGATTCTGACCGAACAGATGGTGTATGTATAAACCAATCGTTGGTCACCGATTACCATTGGACTGCACCTCCTAACGTTCCTCCACTGTCTTGTGGACTAGACCTTTAAGTCGGAGGCTCCGGGTGTGTCCGCCTAAGAAAACCACCTGCTTAGGTCTGGGCATCCATACAGCATCACAGCCCAAAGACAAATCAAGTGATTTATGTGGTGCATATGTATTCGGTGCCCCTTTGTACCAATATGTGTTCAAGTAAATAAATAGATAAACAAAGCGTTTCCAAATAAAATATTTAATAGGATTGTAAATTAGTTTTGGATTATACCATGGAAATATTTAGTAAGTGTTAGAAAACACTGAAGTCCGTGAAAAGTCAGTCGAAATTAGACAAAAAATAGATAGCTAAATCTCTACTTTAAATTTGTTAAACAGTTCATCTAGAAGCTTACATCCTTGATGATTGATCCTCAAGGATAGTTCGAAATTCCCTCTCCGTCATTTCAGTAACTGGGTGGAGGGCCTGAGCTAGAGAAAAATGTGTGTGCTCAACTCTTAATCTTGTTAATTTTCACCTTCGTAGTGATGATTCGAAAAGCGGCGACTTGGGCTGATGCATAAACATTTCAGCTTGCATGGTGCACATGACTGACTGCTCCGATTATACGCTAATGTAAAAACATTATATTTCTCTAACTTACCTGACCCTGTGGAAATCAAATCCAGGACCTTCAAGCCTTGTATAATGATGATCAAGATATCATCTAATTATATGATTTAAATTCATTGGTTCTACTTTTCACTTTAGCCAGTTATATCTTAAGAATAATTGTTTAGTAGGCCAATCAAATAAACGGTATTTTTATTGAGGTCATGAATCCATATATGTTAGACCACCATTGAAAACCTGGAAATACTGGAAGGCCGTTTCGTCCTAGTATAGCACTCCTCAGCAGTACACACCTGTGATCCTGCTCGTGGGACTCGAACTCAAGATCTTCGGTTTTGCGCGCGAACGCTTAACCACTAGACTACTGAGTCGGGAACCAATGGTGTTAATATCTGACTGCAACCAATCCACGAAATTGTGCGACCATCTTCCGTTGTCTGAGGTGTATACCTGTCTCTAGCTGACACGGATTAACTCCATTGGATGCGCACTACTGAGGAGTCCCATGATACGACAAAACGGCTGCCAAGTACTTTCAGTTTTTCATTAATGGTCTAACGTTGATCGACTGATGATCTCAATCAAAAACGTAACAATCTCCACAACCCCACACTGATAAAAAGGTATTTCTGTAGAGCTGAAGATTTTCAAAAATACTGAATTCAAAGGGAATAAAGTTGCAGAAATCTGAAGAAGCTAGTCAATAATCATCTAAAACGACCCATATATTTCCTAAGATTTACTTACTCATGTTGAAATGGTGATTCTAAAGCAGAACGAATTTGAGCCCAAAGTCGTTTATGTTGACCTTGAAATTCTTGGGATAACTGATTAGTTAGATTTTGTGTTCTGACTTTTTGTACAGATGATAAAGATTGTTCATGAACAGGAGATGGTGGTGATGTAAGTGAAATGAACACTAAAATGAAGATTTTTATTTATTTATAAAAAACGATTGAATATTCATGAGTGTTAAATCACTTTTGAGAAAAAACTAATATTGTATTAAATATCAATCAGTCAACAACGTAGAATTTTATACGTACGTACATCAGTTCGAGCTGTCATAACACGTTAGCACAGAGATGCAGTTGTCAATTCAAATCCTGTAGTGCTAGATGTAGTAAAATTATAAGCTGTAATCAGAAAAATTAGGGTTTGAACACGTTATTCAAGGAGTATAATCCAGTGAAATAAATTTGGAAAGAGGAAAAATAAAGGACATGAAGAATCTAAAAGATTAGAATTTGGGAGAACACAAAAAGTGTATGCACCTGCGCCATTGCAAACGATTTTGAGCCATGTCATTCAGGCTCTCTAACCATCGGTTGCTATCATCTCGCGGTCCCCAACCAGATAGTCTACACCTACCAACATGACTCAGTCCACTTGTCAGTGACTTCATGGACTTGTGTCATGTTTTGGTCTGGCCGTCCCTAGCTTTCTTCCAACCTACTCCTATACCACTAAACATCGCATTTCGAGGCAGTCGGTTGTTGGGCATACGTAACACGTGTCCCAGGCATCTCAACTGATCAAGTTTCACTACGTCTCGGCGAGGCCTCGTGCTATGGGCACTTTGAGCCCCAAAATGCTCTGGTACGGCCGAGAGTGGGGAGAGTCCGCTCTCCCTCTCGAAATGCTCTCATATGGCCACGCATATATAGCCTCTGCCAGGGAAGTCCTACTCACTGCCTTCTCGTGGCATTACTGTTGTTTACGAAATTGAGAGGACGAAAAGCAAATGTCCGGCGCTTTAACCGGATTCCAAACCAATGGTGCACATGGTCTCCAGTATCCTGCGGGAACAAATGGCGTATGAACCAATCGTTGATCATCGGCTTCCATGGGACTGCATCTCCTTACGATGCTCCACTGCCTTGTGGATCAGACCTTCAGGTCGAAGGCTCGGGGAGTGGCCCCCTAAGAAAACCACCTGCTTCGGTTTGGGCACCCGGGCAGTATCTCAGCCCTCACACATATCGAATGAGATTTGTGCGGCGCATATGTATTTGGTGCCGCCTTGTACCAATATCTATGTGTTAAAATAAATAAATAATAACGTCATCAATTGATTTGCCATACCTAGTACCCGTTTCCCAACAACTGCGTTACTTACTCGATAGTCCCAGGATATACGAGCAATATTTCGAAGACACCTATGATCAAATACTAGTAACCTACGAATATCCTTTACTCTTACTGGCCATGTTTCACAGCTATATAGTAGGACGGAACGAACTGCTGCGCAGTAAACACGTCCTTTGATCGATAGAGGGATATCTCGCCTAAGCTATAAATGACGCAAGTTGACAAAAGCTAGTCGAGCCTTCTGTATCCGTGCTGAGATTTCGTCACACACCAGACCACAAGGGCTGATGAGACTTTCAAAATGAGTGAATCGATCGACACGCTCAATTACTTCACTCCCTATCATTAGTTGAGGTGTCGATGCAACCCAACCCTGAAGCAACATTTCGCATTTCGAGGGGGAGGATCGCATCTCGAACATGCTTGCATTGTTGCTTAGAGTGGTCAGAAGACTCTGCATTTTGTCAGCGTCTTCACCAAATAAAACTATGTCATCTGCATATTCTAAGTCAACAAGTGAACCTCCCGGTAGAAGTTCAACCCCTGGAAATTTATACGAGGAAAGTGTTATCTCTAAAAGTACGTCAATGACAAAGTTGAACAAGAATGGGGAGAGTGGGCAACCCTGACGAACACCACTTGAGGTAATCAGTTCTGATGACAGTTCGCCATAAGCTCTCACTCGACCAGTTGTGTTCGAGTAGAGAGCCTTTATAAGGTTAATGTACTTCTTTGGTACTCCTTTCAGTGACAAACACTGCCATAGAACCTTACGATCAACAGAGTCGAATGCTGCTTTAAGGTCGAGAAATACTACGATTGTGGGGCGTCTGAATATGTGTCTGTGTTCTAGAACCTGACGTAGTGTGAATATCTGATCTATACAACCACGTCCAGGTCGAAAACCAGCCTGATTTTCTCTAGTCTGCTCTTCACGAGCTTTAGTTAGGCGTCGAAGTATAATTTAAGCTAATATTTTAGATATTATATTTGTCAAACTGATTCCTCTGTGATTGTCACAAGAGGACTTTTGTCCTTTCTTATAGACTGGCACAATCAGTGATTGAGACCAGTCAGATGAGATTACGTCCAGTTCCCAAATTCTACCTAAGACCTCAGTTAATCTCACTGCTAATACTGAACCACCATCCTTAAAAATCTCAGGAGTAAACCTGTCAGGGCCTGCTGCCCTTCCTCGCTTCAGATTTCCTATGGCTTTTTCAACTTCGTAAAGAGTCGGAGGACCTACACTAACTTGTCATTCAGGTTGACTGGAGATCGTGGGAAACCGAAGTGTGGCTGAAGACCAGTTGAACTGATCCCTAAAGTGTTCTGCCTATCGATTCAATCTCCTGGATTGAGAATGTATAATATGTTCACCTTTCTCTGAGAGTGTTTCGCTAACAGTCGGAGACGCAGCACACATCGATGGCGCGGGATTCTAAAGTCTTGGCTAAGGAAGCCTGCTGTCCTATTTGGCACAGTGTTCGGACGTTAAAAGCTCCTACGTGGTTTAGAGTGTGGTTTCAGGAGACCAGGAATAACGTTCCGCGTACTCAAATCGTTTGCCCTAGCGGTGCAAGGTGATAAAGAGACGTGAGGAGGGTTAGTCATGGAGATAAGAGAGGTGCTAGGAGGTGTAGGAAGGATTTGAATGTGACCAACTTGGTCTCGTGTGCTGTTACGGGTATGAGGGCTGATATCACTTCCCGGCTGCCCACACCGTGGAAGGATATTTCTTGAGGAATCTGAAAAGGAAATTGGATCAGTGTTGGTCTTAAAGACCTGGGAGCGTGACCGCAGAGCCCAAGGGACAACTGCTTGAGGCCGGTCGCGCACGGCCTTTTCGTGGAAGGTTTTTAATGTGTTAGCTCCGTTCTTCAAAGGGCCTTATCGCCGGAGACGGAAATCCGTGGGGTAAGGTGAGGTGTGACATCTTTAGGGTCGACCTTTTCTAACCCCACCCCTCCTTGTGGGAAGGCAGCATCGCTGCAGATGCTGGTTGTCCGAGGGAAACACCTTACTGCTGCCACACCTCTCTACAGTCAGCAGTACGACTTCGCCCTCAGACCTTGAGTTGCTGCTTTTAGTCTTACCGTTCTCCAATCGACCTGTCTGGCATGGTAGAACCTATAGGAACATATGTTCCAGCCAATATAGCTCGGTTGGGTCATCACGATTTGCAAGCCCGACCACCGCGTCAAGGTAGCAGCTTCGGTCGGGAGGTAAATACCTGTCTCTACCTGACACAGATTAGCCCCACTGGATGCGCACCGCTGAGGAGTCCCATAATAGGAAGAAACAGTCTAGTACTTCCAGGTTTTCCATGATGGTCTAGCTTCAATTGACTCATGATCGTAATTATTAAAGTATTATTAAATGTTGGAAAAAGTATAGTTTAAAAAGGAGCCAATAATCATGAAAGAGAAAATCACTGTTGGGTTTTTGCGTAGAATTATAACAGGAATGACTCTTATCATATCATATGTAACAAACAGTAAAAATGGCTCTTCTTAGTGCTCAGAACGTTTAAAATGATAAGACATGTTAGATGTTCAGTTAATTCTATATAGACTGTATATAACAGGTAAGTCTCTAAATTCTAATCCTGAAAGAAACCTTTATATGGTGGTACCATGCTTTATAAACAAAACAATCAGATTTCAGATAATGCCTCCTAAGATTTTGAGTGTAATGTATTCATTTATTGTTAGGTCCCGATAAACATAATGAGTGGTAACTTTGGGATCCTTTTATAGACCAATACTATACGTACATTTTTATCGTATAATTGTTAAGTAACTAAACTATTCATATTCATATTCCTCTTATTATAAACTTTATTTTGACCTGTGAACCATTATTATACGTTTTACCATTCTTCAATTATGCGCTGTCTATTAGTCACCGCCTCACACATTCACATTTGGCCAAATTTTGTACAAATGTTATTTTCTATTTTATGTTACGTTGTGGTCTGTTTGATTGGTATATAAACTCAGTATGTTTGGAATATGATTCATATTGCAGAGGCTGAGACTAGTGTTCTGGACTTAACTGGCTGGGCTACGCGGAAAGCAGGACCAATCAGGACTCTAGGCTGCTCGCACGTTTTACGCGTCCTTGATCCGATCGATAATTTGATGCCTCTGATCGGCGGTTTTGGGCAATAACATTTATATGGTTACAAACTCCTTCCGTTTGATGGCTAGTGTCAGCTAGTGAAGAAAACCTTAGCTCTAAATTCTGGAGCAGGTTTGAAGAAAGCTAGGGGCGGCCAGACCAAGACATGGCACAAATCCATGAAGTCACTGACAAGTGGACTGAGCCATGTTGGTAGGTGTAGACTATCTGGTTGGGATCCTCCAGACGATAACAACCGATGGTTAGTGACCCTGAATAACATTGATCAAAATCGTTTGTAATAGCGTAGGTGCATACACTTTTTGTGTTCTCCCAAATTCTAATCATCTGAATTCTTCATGTCCCTTTCTTTTTTTCTATTTCAAAATTTATTTCACTGGATTATACTCCTTGAATAACATCTTCGAACCCTAATCTTCCGATTACTACTTATACTCTCACTACCACTACCACTACGGGATTCGGACCGACAATCGTATCTTTGTGCTAACGTGTTATGAAAACTCGAACTGATGTTTGTACATACGAAGTTCTACGTTGTTACTGACTGAACTCTAAATTCCTAATCTAAACCTCGCGCAGCTTCGGTGAATCCAGTTCTCATTATTTAATTGTTTAGATTATTATTTCACTGTGTCAGTTATAAATTCCTTCTCTTCATTCCTATATCGCTTTTAGAGCTTTACTTATTATCTTCGGTTGATCCGTCCGTTTTTATCGTCGTTATTAAATGATTCTCAACATTTATTTTTGTTGGCGAAGACGGATGGTGGCTAGCATTGGACTCGTCAGTTGGATGTACCTGCATTTCAGAGTTGATGTTCACTCCGGGACCCGAACCCAACACTGTTCGCTTCAAACGCTATCGCGTTATCCACTTAGCTACTGAGTCCTGATAGCCATTTGCTTATGCGATGTGGTTAAATCTAAATACACGCTGTTGTTTGCTTGTATCTTCCGATTATTGCTTATAAAGCTTGTGACTTCAGGCGATATCGAAACAATCTGTACAGGATGCCAACAAGGGACTGATAAATTGTAGTCCTAAACACAAACATTTGTACAAGGAGACACAAAACAGATATGCGCCACAGAAGTCACTTGATTTGTGTGTAGAATGTGATACTGCCCGGTAGCCCAAAACGAATCAGACGGTTTCCTTAGGCGTCCACACCTGGAGCCTTCGATCTAAATATCTGATCCACAATGCAATGGAGCAACGTTAGGAGATGCATTCCCATTTTAGCTGGCGACCAATATTTGGTCCATACATTATTTGTTTCCTCAGGATCCTGAAGCCCATGTACACCATTGGTTGGGAATGAGGGTTTTCCAACTCCCCTAGGTGGGTCCTTCGTATCCATGTGTCAATAATAAAACATGGAATGAACCAAAGGAAGTATATAATCGCCTCTGAATATAGAAATTAGCTTTCGAAAACGTGGATCATTAGAAACATTCAACTTAATAGGATCGGAACAACAAAGATTAATGTTACATGTAGTGAGATGTATAGTAGTTTTACAAACTGACTGATTGTGTCCAATTTTACCACATTTAATGCATATAGCATAACGAAATATACATGAATGAAATTCGTCACAGGACAAATATTTACCAAACTTGTGCTCACATCTATGATCAGTTTTAAAATTTCTTGTTGACTCACTTTACATATTTCCACGAGAATAAGAACCATTATTAAACAAACGCGATTTTGAACAACGCCGAGAGTGTAGTTCATCAGGACGAATAAACAAAGTATCAGAAATTTCCACTGACTGAAAATAGTTAGTACAGGCTGTTTCAATTTCTTGAAATGAACTTTTAAGCTTCTGAATTAATTCGTTTTATGAATTTGGAACATTTATACCAGCAATCGACCGATCATGAAGTTGAGTTTCTTATCAGTGTCTAAAATTCCACTTCGTGATCTGTTTCTGTAGTTTGAGTGATAAAGTCTTTAACTTTCTCATCGTTTTATGAAACTTTGGTCTCTCTCTCTCTTCATTCCAAGCTAGCACACTGCACATGACTAAGAAGTAATTTCTTGGAAGATTCATATGACAATGCAATCAGTTTCTCTGAAAAAAACTCAGATTCTTTAGCAGGTTATTAGCTTCTTTGTCTACGAACGTCAAGAAATAAAATGTGAATTTATCATCTTTAATCTGTTTCCTAGTCATGCAGCAAATTTCGAACTGCTCCATATATAGTCCTCAAAGTCATCCCTACTTGAATCAATATCCAACGCCATCGCAACACCAATATAATGATTAGAAGTATTCGAATTAATATACTAACTGGGAATTTCAGAAATAATGCAATTTAAGGCATATACAACTAGATGAGTACAACAGAACGTATTCTATATGGAATCAGTGGTCAATCAAGTACAAAGGAATCATTAGTTCATACAAACACCACATTCCATTAAATTATTTGTTAGAAACAGATTATACTTGCTGGTTTTGACTAAGACTGTGTGTGTGACAGAATAGGGATTTATTTAAGAAACTTATCTCTAACTAATTAATTCCCATGTATTGATTTCACTGACATCTAAAGACATAGTAGGTGTTCGTTTGAAGGCGTAACTGCATTACAACTGTAGACTACTCATCATACCTAATTGAAATATTGGAGAAGTATAAACTTGATTGATCAGTTTCCTTTTGGAAATAGTTTCTGTTAAGTTTTAATATTTCGAGTTATAATACATGCGAAATTAGGAACACTTAAGCTACTCTAATACTATGATGTGTACTACTGATATCGATAGATATCAGTAGTGTGTATCATCAATCGAAAATGAAATGTCTGGCAGCAGAAGATCTAAGAAACGAGAACAGTGAAGGATTACTGTGGAAACGAAGTCACAATAAAGTCTGACATTTTGCAAATGAAGTATTTACTGTATGGTTCTCAGATTTTACTAAGAGATCTTATAATTGTGTATTCAAGTACATTTGATTGTTCCCATTTATGTTCTCGTTCACTGCAATACAACCGGTTCTTCTGTGTAAATCAATAACAAGAACTAGCGCATAACACAGGGTAGAGACAAATTGTGTGAGAACTTTATATTTATAGTAGAACAAGCAGAATAAAACGAAACAGTTCAACTTCGTATACACAGCAATGGAAACATAACTTAAAGACAAATTCACTTGGTGTTGATTTACTTGTATCTTCCCATTGTTATTTAGGACTGCAATTGAACAGTCTCCTGTTGCCGTATGTGTATCCTGTGAGGATTACCTCGATATTGCTTTAAGTCACAAGCTTTTTAAGCAGAGATGGATAGCGGCTGATAGTGGAATCCTGGACGCGCGTTTCCTCCTATTTGGGACTCGTCAGCTGGGTGTACCTGCACCGCAGGGTTGGTGATCACTCCTGGATTCGAACCTAGTGCCGTCCGCTTCAAATGCCATCACGTTATCCACTTAGCTACTGACAAGTTTCAAACGGGACGAAACACGCGTCAAGCTGTATTCCACTACTAACCATTATCCATCTTTGCTTAATAACTTAAAGACGTACAGAAATGTAGCATAATAAGAACAACACATATCTATAATCGGGAAAGATTCATTTAAAATATCACATAGGAAAAAAAGAAATTGGTGTCACAATTTCTAGTATTATTGCAAACGAAATGTGAATGATCTTATGATCATGATAACGGTTTCACATGACAAAAGACAACGTGTAGTGGGGCCCTTTCTTTTAGATGTCAATTAGATCAGACCATGTTGTTAACAGGCTCATTACTTTAGTGGCCCAGAATCTGACTCCAGTGAGATTGTTTCTGATTGCTATTGAGATATACATATCGTCATTCCTCGTATATAATTGTCGACTTATATCATGCTGGTGAATAACGGAATTAAATCAAATACGAGAATGGATATCTCAAATACATATATTTCGTGCAATCATTGATCTGAACAGATACTCAGAAAACGTAGCGAAGCAAGAGAAGAAAAGAGAGAGCGAAGTGGAACGAAAGGATGTGCAGTAGAGAAGGCATGTGGGCCATCTCCCATGTCGTCAAGCGTTGATCAATCATGATAGTCACACAACAATAAGCTACGAACATGGGATGAATAGGATAAGAAGAGCACACACAAATGTGCTCATATAGTAACAATGGAGTTTGATAAGTGAATAATTAAGAAAATCAAAATGTGACACAAGATGAATGAATAGATTGACCTGTCCGAAAGTTAGAATAAGGTATAAGGGCTTAACATAATAACCGACACTATAAACACTCATAGACAATGAACAGTGAATGTGTATAGAGAAGTCATAGGTATATATCCATTTGTTTCTCTCAAATATGTTGATTTGTATTATTGAATACATTGTATATAAGTAATATTTCACTTGAAATAATCATATTCATCCAAATCATTATAGTTGCAAGAACTAATCCACATAGAAAATATTGATTATCACGAAATATGAATCGTTTATCACCTGGAAAAATTGCTTGAGTTGCAATTGCCAATTCCTGAAATACATTTACATAATTTTATCAATATCATCATCAATTATCTAAAAACCATGTCTGTAACCATCGTTTAACTTATGTGTGCTGTTACTGTGAATTTCAATCTCGGCAATGAGTAAACACAAAATATTGTAATCAGATGGGGGATTCATGAGTCATTAGAAGCTAGACTACCATGGAAAACAGATACGTCCTGGGTTCCAACCCAATAGGCGGGATCGTGGATGCGCACTACTGAGGAGCCCCATACTAGAACAAAATATTATAGTTCAGGTGGCTGTTAATATCTATTCTTTAGTTTTGTATCTGTAAATAAGTTCCCAAAATCAATAGCTCTGTAAGTCCTCGATATTTGATACTGAACTCATCTAGCTGAAGGTATTCGGTCATGCATCCGCACCAGATCACGTGTGGGAACGCCGTGCTCAATATCCCTTGCAATCGCTAGCCAATCTAGATCAGTCGGTTCTCGATATATTGATAATCTATCAAATATATTTCCGAACCTCTTCACTTCTAATTTCACTGTGTGGGCACATTTCGAATATAGAAGGTGTTACTGGTTAAAGTGTTGTTGTTAAACTTCAAATACTTGTGGCATTTTCAGTTTGCTAACTTCAGAATGTGAAAATGATTAATGCAAAAGCGTTTTGTGAAATTGTTGTGAGTTATTTAAGAATGGATGCATGTTTTCTTATTACCCCACCCCCTAACAATTAACTCACCCATTTCACCATTGTATTTGTCAAATGGTCAATACTTCGCATCAATTACCCATTCCTTAAACGTCCCTTCAGTGCATCGGAAAATCAGATAAGAGTACACAAGTACTTTCTACTCATTATGACATATAGTTCATATAATAATTGTGTAATTCATGTAAAAGTATTGTGTAGGTGGGAGCTATCACATATACTCATCAGTCGATATAACACTGATCATAATGAAATATATTAAACAGTAAATTGTTACTTTTATGTAGCTTTTCAGAAGTACATATCCATTAACATGTCATGAATGGAACACTGGAGCTTTGAGTCTCGTGAAGTATTCTCAACTAAAAGAAATACCTAGCTAATATTCATTCATACACATTGGCCATAACAACTGGTTCGTATTATAACTATCCATTAGTCTATAATATTCAATGTTAATCCAATTGAGATCACTTGATTGTGAATAGCATGTACAGGGTGAAATTTAAAGAGCACCCTCATGTAATAACACTTGCACATTTACCCAAAACCTTGAACAAATATGGGTTTCAATAGTAGAACATTAATCAAAGTGTAACACAGTGTTAAGTCACATGTAAGTGTAGACCTTGAAAAATTGACTCCAACGATACGATGACCAAGTACCGGTTACTCTCCTGTAATTAATTAGTTACTTACGCCTGTTACTCCCTATGGAGTATAGGCCTCCAGTCAGCATTCTCCAAACCACTCTGTCCTGAACCATATTTTCTAGTTCCATCCAATCGTTGTTCACCCTCCTCATGTCTGTCTCCGTTTCTCGCCATATTGTGTTCTTCGGTCTTACTCATTTCTTTTCACCTCGAAGATTCTAAGTGATGGCTTGCCTTGTGACGTAATTGGGTGCTTCCCTCAGTGTGTGCCCTATCCACTTCCAACACTTCTGTCTGATTTATTACTCCTCTGGAATCTAGCTTGTTCTCTCCCACAGTAGGTTGTTGCTAATAGTGTCTGACCAACCAATGGATCCGAAGTATTTCACGTAGACGACTGTTAGTAAACACTTGTATCTTCTGGATGACGGGTTTCGTAGTTCTCCATGTTTCCACCCCATATATTAGAACTGTCTTATTATTTGTATTGAAGATTCTGACTTTAGTGTTGGTCGACAGACAGTTGTTTTGAGTTCCAGATATTCTTCAGTTGTAGATGTGCTGCTGTTGTTTTGCCTATTTGCACATTTACATGTGTGTCAGATCTATCGTCTTCGTCGGTGATGCTGTCCATATATGTAAAGGTTTTTACATTCTCCGAAGCTTCTCCCTCAAGTGTGATTCGATTGGTGTGTGTTGTGTTGTATCAGAGAATTTCGCTTTTCCATTTATGTATGTTGAGATCTACTGCTGTTAAGGCTGTTGCTGCTACACTGGTCATCTTCTTTCTCATTTGTTGTCGTGTGTGCGATAGAAGAACCAGATCATCTGCGAAGTTCGATTAGTATATCTTAAAACAAACAACTGCTTAAAATCAGTAGTGATATTTGATTAAAAATACTAAATATAGAATTTACCATGATAAGTAATAAATCTTCGACAAGGAATAAAGCTATGAAGAATACAGAAACATTTAATATACTTTGAATGGAAGCTAATAGTGAAATCTTGAGCACATATTCCATCTTAATGGAACTCAGATTGAAACTGTTCATAACTTCTAAACATAATGAGACACACATTTTATGTTTCATTGATGGACACTCTATCCGTAATATAATCAAATTGTTACTAAATGAGAAGTTGAGACAACCATTCAGTGGATCCATAAACAATCTGCAATTGTATATACCAATGACACTGCTAATATCAACCATAACAAGTGATAACAAGCATTTAAATTACATTAGTAAATTACTTACATAAATGATTGTCAGTAGCATTCCTGATCCAGAAATAATCAGAATGACCTATTCAATAGTAATAATAATAATTATTATTATTATATATCTGAATGAGTAAGTGTAGATTTAGATTTACTATTCAGTGACAATAAATCTGGGCAGCATCATTGATGAACACGGTGGATCTGATACACATGTAAATGTGCGAATAGGCAAAAAAAGAGTAGCATATCTGCAACTGAAGAATATCTGAGACTCAAAACAACTGTCTGTCGACTAACACTAAAGTCAGAATTTTCAATACAAATAATAAGACAGTTCTAATATATGGGGTGGAAACATGGAGAACTACGAAACCCGTCATCCAGAAGATACAAGTGTTTACTAACAGTCGTCTACGTGAAATACTTCGGATCCATTGGTTGGTCAGACACTATTAGCAACAACCTACTGTGGGAGAGAACAAGCTAGATTCCAGAGGAGTAAGAAATCAGACAGAAGTGTTGGAATTGGATAGGGCACACATTGAGGGAAGCACCCAATTACGTCACAAGGCAAGCCATCACTTAGAATCTTCGAGGTGAAAAGAAATGAGTAAGACCGAAGAACACAATATGGCGAGAAACGGAGACAGACATGAGGAGGGTGAACAACAATTGGATGGAACTAGAAAGGATGACCCAGTACAGAGTGGTTTGGAGAATGCTGACTGGAGGCCTATACCCCATAGGGAGTAACAGGCGTAAGGTGAGGAAAAGTATTCAGCGACAATAATCATTACTGACCAACTAACTGAATAATCACTGTAAATCTAAAAGCATCTAACTAGTGATCCAGTACTTCATGCGTTGATATGTTCATAATTTGGTCAACTCTAATTGTATTGATTCTACCACTTCATTATCAGTCTCATTTACATACAGGAATAGGTGGTAGCTAGAAAACATAATAAAGATAACCGTCTATTTACAATGGCTAGCTTATCAACAACAAAAAATTACTGTAAAGGGATGACATTGATGTTTGTCATGAATAGGAAAGAAAGCGACAGATATAAAACTAATGAGTGTAATGTCTTTAATATCGAATTGTTAGATAATCAACTCCATAAGGCAATATCTTATTGCTTTATCCACAATAAATGAATTCAATTAAGATTGTTTGCATTCAATATATGAATTCATGAGTCAATTGAAGAGCAACATGGAAAACCTGGAAGACCGTTTCGTCCTAGTATGGGACTCCTCAGCAGTGCGCACCCACGATCCGCACCAAAACGACTCTAATCTATCGATCGCGTGCGCGAATGCATAACCTCTTGACCACTGAGCCGGTATCATCAGTATACCACAGAGTTATCCTATCAAACATCTGTTCATTCATAATCATAATCAAAAAGGGGTTTTGTGGAGGTTTAAGCAATTTAATAGTTGAATTCCTGAGTCAATTGAAGCTAGACCACCATGGAAAACCTGGGAGCACTAGCACTGGAAGTTCTAGTATAGAACTCCTCAGCAGTGCGTATCCACAATCCCGCACTAAAGGGACTCGAACCCAGGACCTATCAGTCACGTGTGCGGATTCTTAATCTCTAGCCGACATCATCACTGGGCCATCCAGTGCTTTCATGGTAGTCTAGCTTTAACTGACTCATGAATTCATCACTTAATTTACTAAAATCTCTACAACCTCCCTCCTCTCTAATTGTTTAAATTATACAATTATCTTACTTACATCAAAGTAACCATAATAATTTAATATAATCATAGCAATATAAACTATTGCTTGTAAAGTGAATATAACAGTAAGGAATATATTCAATGATGTTTGTATATCGAAACGTATTAATTTGCCAAATATTATAGTCAGCAATGTAATTCCCAATGTAATAACCCAATTACATGGAATCCATAACGTTTTCAATTCACATAGAAACCTTGAAACTGGAATTGAAAGAATGATCGACTATTGAATGAAAACAAATAAATAGAATAGAGAATCAACATGACAGATCATCTATCTGCTGAATAATCATTAATCATTTAATTAAATGTAATATATATTTGAAAGAATGGTGTAAATCCTCAACGTTGATGATCTCGGTTGAATGATTGGACACCTCGAGTTACACGAGAACAATGTGACCAACCAGTTAATATCGAAGGCATGCATCGCGTTCAGCATCTAACGTCGATTAACTCTTGGTCGTATTAAGGTACTATGGAAGCTTTGAAGACCATACATCACAAAGGACGTTATTATAGCAATATATATTGGTTAAAGTAGGTACAAGTGGATGTGTGAACACCAACGCATGGACCAGTCAATGGCATACAATTAACAGATGTGCATTGGTCGTCCTTGACCTTGACAGGGATCGATGATCTTTTCAATGTTCAATAACCCAACTGCTAGATGATTCGGCTGGAGCTCAGTAACATTTCACTGGCTCTACAGTAGTAATCGACAGTAAAGTGAAAAATGTCACTTTCAAATCTTTCACTGTACTGGTTTTTACTCTACACTTATTTGAACGATATTGTTTGGCAAATGTATGGAACGAAGCTATGAACGAGCATTGATTAACAAATTGAGCTGTCAGTTCATTATAGATGTATGAAGTGTGAATTCGAAAGTGGCTGACTGAACCATTTCATTCAATTTGCAATATTTCCACTAGTCTAAATGACCAAGTATAGTGTTGCAGCCAGTATATTTTGATGATTGTGTGCAACTAACAGGAAGTACTATAACTAAGTTTTATACTAGCAGATATTCGCCAACAAAGTGAATGTGGTATACTGATTACTTAGTTATTTATTTACGCCCGTCACTCGTCGTGAAGGAGCATAGGCCGCCTACCAGCACTCTCCATCCAACCCTATCCTAAGCAATCCTTTCCAGTTGTTATTCATCCTTTCCATATCTGCTTCTATTTCCCGACGTAATGTGTTCTTTAGCCTTCCTCATTTCCGCTTCCTTTCACGACTCCAAGTTAGGGCTTGCCTCATCATGCAGTTTGGTGATTTTCGTGATATATGTCTTACCGATTTCCATCGTCTTTTCCTAATTTCCTGTTCAGCTAGAAGCTGGTTTGTTCTCTTTCACTGTACGCTGTTGCTGATGGTATCCAGCCAATGGATGTTGAGTATGTTGCGTAGACAACTATTTATAAATACTTATAGGTGCCAACTATTACAAAACTTATGTTCAAGTTTTCCTTATGAGTACATCCAACTACCCAATATCAGCTACAAAGTCAATTCCATGAAGCTGTTTAAGTGTCCCGAATAAGATATCAACTTTATATAAACCATCATTAGAAATTCTAGAACCTGGTAAAAGAGATAATCTAAACATTCTTCAGTTACTCAACTAATTAGGATGAAATGAAATCATACAGTTAACCAGTCATTTGGTTATTTATATGTATTGACTCTAAATGTTTTGAATTAGAATAGCCCATATAAATGAATGTGTCTTTATATTAAAAAAGGAATCAACTTAAATACATACACTATCGACATCAAATCATATAATGATGTTAATGGTAAATATTTTCAAGTGTTTTTTTCTAACTACTTACATTGAATATCAATAGTATATAATTTAATGGAAAAATAAATTGCACTCGTGGCATTAGAATGATTTCCAAATCAATAAAGAGTCCCAAAAAGCTGTAATAATCACAAATCACATATATACATTGAAATACACTAATGTGAAAAATTAAAAACGATAAGCAAAATGAATTTCACACTATGATTTCTAAATAAACTAAATATGATATAGAAACAATGACTGATATTTTAATGATCGAACGATACTTTGATGGATTTAGGTAAATCATGTAGGGATTATGATGGTTATTCATTGAATACAATGCCTAATGATCATCTTATATCACGGATTGAGCGGTTTCAAATGTAAACAAATTAATTTTGACTAAATTGAATTGATGACAATGAGGCAGGAGTTACGATTGAATCGCATTATGATACTTTCATCATATTTAAATTCATGTTTGACTTTTTGTGAGTCATTCATACTACTTATTGATATAAAGTAGATTGAAGTGTACCCAATCGTTTTTACGATCAGTTCACTGTAGAAGCTGGCATTACTTTGATGGAACTAATCAGCGAAACATCCGTTTACATTTCTGTCATTGTGATCGTATTGAAGATCGCCAACGTAGGTGATCTCTGTCGAAATTATTTGTGGCCTACTCGAGTTAGATGGATGTCGAAGTCACACCTCGCGGTCAGCAATATAACATGGATTGTCCCTTCGATGTATCAAGGTACTATGGATTCTTCGAAGACCATTATTACAGTAATATATATATAATTTAATGTAGGTACATAGGAGAAATTGTGACCACCACCTCATGGACCAGTTCATGGTATATAATTAACTGACGTGAGTTGGTTGTCCTTGACCATGACAGGGATCGATGATCTGTTCAATATTCAGTGACCCAATTGCCTTATGATTTGGCAACATTTCACTGCACCTACGGTATTATTAGTTTCCCATCATATTCGATTTTAATATCTTCACTATTCTAGCTTTATTTATCTTGGAAGATTTGATTAAATAATGAAAATCTGACCGAAACATTGTTACTTATGGCAACATTGCAATCTAAATCGTAATAGAATACACTAGGTGTTCACTTGCATTTCCTGTCCATATTCTCGCCTAATTTGACTTGTATTTTGTTTGTTATTTTATACTACTTAATAATATTCAGTAAACGGTTGTATGTATAGTAATTTCTAATCGGATGACTTGGTGCTAGTTTATTTTTGGTGTCATCCCCCAAAGTATTTACTGTAGTTATTATCAGTTATTCCAGTTATGTATATCTTTTGAGCTTTTGTTTAACCGTAACAGTTTTGATATTTATATGCTCTTAGTTGCCATTTTAGTTGCCGATATTGTAGTGAGTGAAACCACCGGCTTCTGGTTTTAATTGCAAAATTGTCTTGATCTAAGGCTTGTATTATTTCTGATTGCTTTCTGTAGTGAATGTAAGTGTATTGTGTATGATTGCTGAGTTGTCATCTAACCTTTACCCTCTTCAGTAACGCTAATCTGAATACTATCCTAGTACACTAAGTAACTTCTGTCTAGACGTCGTGAACTGCTACAACAAACTATTGTTGACATTAAACACAGCTGTCAGCTGTTATTTACGCTCTTGAAACCTTTCTGCTCCCACAAATACAGGTGTGTTAATTGACATATATATGTCACGAGTTGAGGTTTATAATCCATTTGTGTTTATTCCACAATAAAGAACCCTTATTTAGACAAATCGTTGTTTTTTAAACTTCAGTTTCATGCATGTCTCAATCGTGTAGTTAGACGCTTCAATGTAATTAACATCAGGTGAATTGTCAAATTGAACTAGGATTCTATGATTATTACTGGGTAGCATGTTGATTACTTAAAAAGTGCGGTTAATTAAGAGTAATACAAACATTTAACTATTATAAGCAAAGATGGATAATGGCTGGCAGTGGAATCCAGAACGTGTGTTTCATCCTATACCAAATATCCCTGAGTCCTAACCAATACATCCAGCAGTTGGATCACTGAATATCGAACAGACCATTGAACTGTTTCAAAATCAAGGACAACCAACTCACATCAATTTATCGTATGCCTTGAACTGTTCCATAAAGTGGTGGTAGCAACTTCTCTCTTGCACCTAATTTAACTAACATACATATTGCTGTAATAACGTCCTTTGTGATGTACAATCTTCAAAGCATCCATAGTACCTTGATATATCGAAGGGATAATTCACGTAAGATGCTGACATCGAAGTTCGTTGGTTCATCACACCATTCCTGTCTAACTCGAGTAGATCCTCAATCATTCGGCATAGATCATCAATATTAATGATCTACAAACAATATACACATTTTTCGGCGAGACTCTAATTTATGGACGAACCTTGAATGAATCTTAAGCGACCTTGAGAAATATTAGCCAGTCAGCAAACAGTCAGTATAGAGTAAAAATATATTATACAAAACCAAGGAAATAAAGTGGATACACTTCTTATACGTGGTTCAAAAACTTGTTGAGGTTAGAAAGAGGTTCAGAGGTTCTAAAATCATAATGAATACAGTAGAGGAAATCATCCATATGGCTACATAACAGTCGGTCTTTGGTAGCAAAAACTCTTTCAGTCCCGACCACATAGCTTCAATATTGTTTATGTGCACACCGGTTGTTGAGTGCACAAAATGCTACTGGTGGATAACGAAACGATGCACACAACCAAGCATATGTAGGAGTCTGTACGCTATCCAAACATCCGTATATATTGTAGTACCTGGCTGCAGCCAGTGTTACGGGTGCTTTTATTATCCAGTTCGCAATAAATGTCATAATTTGCCTTAGTTAGAAATCATATTTAGGGTTTTCATCAGGAACTGACATCAGCTATAAAGCCAAAACTCTGTTTAGCCAAATGGATGAAAGGCTTTCGTGTCTAAATCCGAGATCTATTATCTTATACCTGATTGTTTCGTCCACAAATTATAATCTCACCGTTTTATTTGCTATAGCCGCTCAATAATCACGCTTTGTACAAAATTCCCTATGAAACGATCGTACGTTAACCTTAAAGACTGAAGTTTGCGCCGTAACCTTGAAATCTCTAAAACGCCTCGGATTGGCTCGTCCATAAATTAGCGTCTCTCCCATTTTTCCTTCAATTCTTCAATAATTTACATATATACACACATTTACCATAACAACAAGAAAACTTCAGATAAAGTAGTATACTAATAATAACTTACAAAAACAATCCAACAAACCAGTTTGTAGATTGTAACCATTCCTTGAATGTATGACTGAATAATAAGTAGTATGTATTGTTTAAATGAATAAAATAAACTCACACTAATATTACAGTAGTATTCATTGCCCATATGATGATTAATTGTATTAATGCTATACCACTAGCCTTTCAAACGAAGTATCATTTATGGATTAGTTTACCTTAATATAAAATAGGATACCAGATATTCGTTGAATTGGTTCCATAACTATCTAAATATATTATGTTATTGTTACGTAATTAAATAAACAAATGCATCAATAACCTACTTGTTTACTGTTCGATTGTGTTAGATCACTTTCTAGATGTTGTTTAACTAAAGTGAAAAGAAGATCATATTTATAATCAGTGAAAGGATATTATAGTAATTTTAATAGTTGAATTCATGAATCAATTGAAGCTAGACCATCATGGAAAACTTGAAAGTATTGAACGGTTGGTTCGTCCTATTGCGGGACTCCTCAGCAGTGCGTATCCAAGAACCCTGCCTCGCGAGATTCAAATTTAGATATTAACACCGTCGAATGCCGGCTCGGTAGTCTAAGGGTTAAGCGCTCGTACGCGAGATTGATAGGTCCTAGGTTAGAGTCTCGCAGACAGCGTCGTGGGTGCGCACTGTTGAAGAGTTCCATGGCGGGTTTTCTATGACGGTCTGGCTTCAATTGATTCGTGAATTTGACAATTAAAATATAATTTTTATTTAATATGAAAGTAAAACTCTGAAATTAATTTAATAATTTTATAGGCAGAGATGGATAGCGAACATCAACTCCGGATGCAGGTACATCCAGTTGACGAGTACCAAATAGGACGAAACGCGTGTCAAACTGGATTTCATTGCTAACCACTATTCATCTTTGCTTATAAAGCGTGTGAATTAAGGCGATATCCATTCAATACTCACAGGATGCACATATACCAATAAGAGATTTATCAATTGCAGTCTTAAACATCAATGGGAAAATTCAAGTAAACAATAACAAGTGAATTAAACGTCACCTAATCACACAACCCTGTGGCTATTAACACTCAGTAGCTAAGTGGATAATACAATGGTGTTTGAATCGAACGCCAGCTTTTTCCAGTCTCAGAGTGAACATCAACACTCGGATGCAGGTGCATCCATTTGACGAGTATCAAAGCAGGACGAAACGCTTGTTAAACTGGATTCCACTGCTAGCCATTAACTATCTTTGCTTATAATGTTTGTGACTTCAGACAATATAGAGACAAGATGCACCTATGTACCAGCAAGAAAGAGACTGATCAATTGCAGTCGTAAACATCAATGAGAAGATACAAGTAAACAATAATATCAAATGAATTGAATTTATATAATACTTTCTATTAAATCAATATTATTCACTTACATTTCATTGAACTAATCAAATAATTCTTCATTAACACTTTTCAATGTTAATCACAATACTACTAATAATACTACTACTAATACTCATAATAATAATAATATGATTACTGTTAGTTATTTCAACAAGTATTTAAACTGTATAGAGAATAGTTTAAACTATTTAAAGAATGAATGTTGATTTACAATTGGAATGAAGTGTAATAATCTTTGTCCTGTTGTGCTACAATCAATAGATGAGATGAATTCTTTAGAAGATTGAATGATTGTGTTAAGAGTTGTGCTGAGAAACCATTGTACCAATGTTGATCTATACACAATATTGGGGTACAAAGTTAATGATTATAATATGATGGATATAGTTATAGTATTATGTTCATCAATGAAGATCTAGTCAACATTGAATGATGATGATGATGATGATGTAATCAAATGAATGTTTGTTTTAAGATATACTAATCAAACTTCGCAAATGATCTGGTTCTTCTATCGCACACACGACAACAAATGAGAAAGAAGATGACCAGTGTAGCAGCAGCAGCAGCCTCAACAGAAGTAGATCTCAATATACATAAATGGAAAAGCGAAATTCTCCGATACAACACAACACGCACCAATCGAATCACACTTGACGGAGAAGCTTTGGAGGATGTAAAAACCTTTTAAATATCTAGGCAGTATCATTGATGAACACGGTAGATCTGATACACATGTAAATGTGCGAATAGGCAAAAAAAGAGTAGCATATCTGCAACTGAAGAATATCTGGAACCCAAAACAACTGTCTGTCGACCAACACCGAAGTCAGGATTTTCAATACATATGTCAAAACAGTTCTAATATATGGGGTAGAAACATGGAGAACTACGAAACCCATCATCCAGAAGATACAAGTAATTATTAACAGTTATCTACGTGAAATACTTCGGATCCATTGGTTGGTCAGACACTATTAGCAACAACCTACTGTGGGACAGAACAAGCTAGATTCCAGAGGAGTAAGAAATCAGACAGAAGTGTTGGAAGTGGATATGACACACATTGAGGAAAGCACTCGATTACATCACAAGGCAAGCCCTCACATGGAATCCTCAAATTCAAAGGAGTAAAGGAAGACCGAGAAACGTAGACAGACATGAGAAGAGTAAACAACGATTGGATGGAACTAGAAAGGATGGTTCAGGACAGAATGGGTTGGAGAATGCTTGTTGGGGGCCTACGCTCTTTTGGGAGTCACAGGAGTAAGTAAGTAATCAATTTAAACTAAACTAGATTTCATAAGGGGATTGATTGAGAAAAAAAGATTACAAAACAAAATGAAGCGAAGACAAACTGAAAACAATTTAACGAGAAACAGTGTTATTATTATGTATTTATTTATTAAAACACATAACTCATTTAATTTTTGTGAGGGCTGTGATACTGCCCCAGTTTCCAAACCGAATCAGATGGTTTTCTTGGGGGGACACATCTAGAGCCTTAGACCTAAAGGCCTAGTCCACAAGGTAGTGGAGCAGCGTGAGGAGATACAATCACATGGTAGCCGGTCATCAACAATAGGCTCATACGCCATTTGTTTTCTTAGGATCCTGGAGCCCAAGTACACCGTTGGTTTGGAATGAGGGTTTTCCAACTCCCCTAAGTGGACTTTCCGTGATCAGCAACCTGGTTAAAGCGCCAGACATTCGCTTTTCGTCCTCTCAATTTCGTAAACAACACCGCGGCCTCGAGAAGGCAGTGAATAGGACCTCCCTGGTAATGGTTGTATGTACGTGGCCATGTGAGAGCATTCCGTGAGAGACAGCTGACTCTCCTCACTCTCGGCCGTACCAGGACATTTGGGAAGGAAATTAAACTAATCACTAAAAAGATATTACTGTTGATAATAGAAAGAATATAAGCGAAAATATATAGAAGCTATCTGAAAAGAAATTGAAGATGCCGCCAGGATTTGAATTTTAACAACACTTTAAGCAATAACAACTTCTATAATGGAAACGTGCCAACCCAATGAAATCAGGAGTCAGAAGTGGAGAGGTTCGAAGATATATCTGATACTTACTTACCTACTTACTTACGCCTGTTACTCCTCGTGCAGGAGCATACGCCGCCCACCAGCACTCTTTGTGTAATCCTATCCTGGGCAATCTTTTACAGTTCTTTCCAGTCGCTATTCATCCTTTTCATATCTGCTTATGTTTCCCGACGTAGTATGTATTTTGGCCTTCCTTTTACACGTTTCCCTTCAGGATTCCAAGGTAGGGCTTGCCTTGTCATGCAGTTTGATGATTTCTATAATATGTGTCTCATTCATTTCCATCGTCTTTTCCTTATTTCCTGTTCAGCTGGAAGCCGGTTCGTTCTCTCCCACAGTAGGCTGTTCCTGATGATTATCTTGCGTAGACAACTATTTATAAATACTTGTACCTTCTCAGTGATGTTTGTGGAAGTTCTCCAAGTTTCAGCTCCGTACAGTAGAACTGTCTTGATGTTCGTATTGAAGATCGTGACTTTGATATTGGCTGACAGTTGTTTTGAGTTCCATATGTTCTTCACTTGTAGGAAATGCAGCCCTGATAAGTTATCAATATATTGAGAAGTGATGGATCTAAACTGTTTAGCGGGTGCAGGAGAAGTTAAGTACAACGTACCCACTTGTTGTCTGGTGCAGATGTATGACCGAGCGCCTTCAGCTAGACCTGTCCATTGGAACTAATGTGGTCAGCATCAAATGTCGAGGACTTTCAGAACCATTTATTGTGGAGATTTGTTTACCGCTACAATTTGGTTACTATTCCTATGTTTCTTGTTGACAATGAATTTGATGCTTTACACTACATGGTATATGAAGACAGCATCAGTGCAACTCCTTGTGTGTGTGGAGCATTTTCTTCTTTATGGCCAGAATAACAGCAGGCCCCCTGAAGCTAGTCTTTTTTGTCTAACATGTGTTTCACTGATTCCAAGCACCTGCAGGTTGTATCTTTTCATTTCTGCAGCAATTTAGATGACTCTCCAGGTCTCCCACATTGTACGAACATTCCATATACCTAAGTTGATGGTTGCTCTGGTTTTCAGATGAGGCATCAGCCTCGTGAATTCTGAAGGAACTCGGCTGTCACCATGAGACATCATAACTCTTCTGAATGAAGACCTTCTAACTCACAGAGCAGAGTTTAAATGGTTTGAATAATTTTTTCCGGTCAGCGTTTTTTCAGCGAGTTGGTTTTCTATGGGATGGTGTCGTTAACTCCATACCCGACCATCGTCTTTTATCCGGACTTTAAACCAGCAGTAGCCCCCGAAAGGGCTCCAGGCGGAGTTATATGAAGATAGTACAATTACAAAAGATGTAACTAAAAGGTATGTGATTTCTTCATGTATAAATCGAACTATGTAATAAGTTCAGATGTTTTATAAATCAATATTATCCTTTGTATGTAAAGGCTATAGTTAGTTCGTTTATAGTAAGCGTTATTTTCTTTTAAGCTTAAACTAAATATATACATAATCTAACATTAAGCATGATATTATGCTAATCTATAATCAAGTAAATATTGAAATAAATTTATTTAATAGTTGAGATCATTATGGAATACCTGGAAGTACTGGACTACCGTTTCGTCCTATTATGGAACTCCTCAACAGAAGCAGATTTGTAACGTCAATCGTCTAATAAATGAGTAAAAAAAAACTTCGAGTTGACTAGAATTCCTTTAAATTACTTAACTCTAGATCAATACTGATAAATATCAACATCATTCATGGTCTTGGCAACGAAAGCTACTTGATTAATCAATTGTAAACACATCTTAGTCCAATATGATGTTAGCTGCTACTCGGATAATTTAGTGGTAACGTTTCTAACTATGAAACTAGGTTACATATAATAGGATATGCTAGGGAGAATCCATTCCCTAAAGATTATAATTACACCTTACTGACGGATGCCAAGTAGCACGAAAACTAAGTATAGGATTTCTTGTCGATTATCTTTAACCACCACCATCCTAGAATGGCTAATAATGGACAGATAGAATATAGTCATAGTTAAAACTGCTTCTTTAACATGAAAGTTTCGGTGTCCTGTTGAAAATCACTCTAAAACTCCACAAGTCTATATAATTTTCATTAAAGTCAATTTGTTTAATAACGACTCCGGTTTCTGAGTAAGTTAACTTATTGTATATCACTCAGTGATGAACTTCAAATGAGTAATGTTTCTGATCCCAAATCGATAGTTCATGAAAAGGATTCAGACATTTAGATACTATTGTTTTGTATGTGGAATTAAGTAATCATAGATACAATTATTCATCGGAAGTTACAAGTCTGAATGATGACTTCATTGATCTTGGAAAGATAACAATTTAGATCGTCAACGTAGATAATCTATGTCGAATGATTGATGGCCTACTCAAGTTAGACGGGATCGGTGTAACAAACCAGCTACCTTCAAAGTCAGACCTCACAGTCAGCACCTAACGTGGATTAATCCTTCGTTTATCAAGCTACTATGGATGCTTTGAAGATCGTATAACACAAAGAACGTTTCTACGAAAATATATTAGTAAGAATGAGTACAGATAAGATAGTGAGACCACCACCGTATGGGTCAGTTCATGATATAAGATTAAATGATGTCCGTTGACTGTCCTTTACTTTGACAGGGATCAATTACTTGACATTTTACTGGCCCTACAACAACATAGATTCTTTTTCAAAGGTTTCCTCACTAAATACAATATGATCACATTTACCGACTCAAACTTATCCATATGATGGAGTTAATAATAGCAAAATAGTGATATATACTGAATGCACATATGTCACATGAAAACAAATAATTCGCTTAAGATTATAATGAAAGTAATTCGCAATTAGGAGCTGACAGGAAACATACACTAGAATAAGAGATTTATGGCTCAGGTAGAGGATTTTCGTGGAGTTTCATTCTCTCGATTGATTTGACAGAACAGCTTTTCTGTCAGACTAGCCTGTCAGTCATATGTGAAAGAATTCGAATATTGACTTC